TAATAAAAATTGAGATTAAAATTTGGACTGAATATTGTACTATTCAAGTCCAAAATTAATTTTTCATTCGATTTTTATTGATGCGTCACATCATATTTTAAAAATAAATTTAATTAATTCAATTTATGTAAAATAATAGTATTTAAACCAAAAAATCACGCTTTAAATAGTTCTACTATCCATTTTCTAGCTTCATCAGGCTATCGTTACCAGGCCCCATTCTTTTGGACTCGTCCAAACGAATCATATCAATCTGGGTTTCACTAGTAGTCACAGTTGCTGCAGAATGGATGTCATAGATAAGATGCTTTCAGCATTAGTGGTTCAAGCGGTCACCTCGCTGAGTGTTGTGGGTTCGAACCCCACATGGGACAACACATAGTGTGGTCTGAGTCTGGGTGTTTTTAGTTTACGTTTGAATGAATGTTTGTATAAACAAAAATCTACTGTCTCAGCGTGTCTTGAGGAATGCTTCTCACTATGTAACATTCTTAAAACTGAGACAGAGAGCGATGTGGTCCAAACTGCCGGGGACTGCACTCCAGAGGTCACCTCGGTTATATAGACACACTACATCTTGAAAACATTGTCTAGTATTTAAAATTGTCATCAAACAGTTAGTGGAGTAGTAATCGTGATTCGAAAAATATGAGAAAAGGCAGTTTTAATGTTATAAAGTAACAGTTTGAATTATATTCATAATACGTAATACTTTATTTTCGTTATAGACAACATGCAGTCATCGCTATTGAAGATTGATAAGAATAAAAACCACTCGCTACCGGCGACGGATCCGCAGTTGCCATTTAGTGTTGCGGATTGCATTAAGAAGAAACCATTTAGTGCCTCTGCAAGCGTGACACAGAATGCCATTTTTTTTTGTTTAAAAGCAATAAAAATATCAGGCCCTTACATATGAAATTAGCGTTTTGTTTTACTGACCCCCTTTGATCTGAAATATCTAGGTACTCTTTGGTTAAGAATTCCAATTTATAAATTCATTTAGCTGGTACATTTGAGTTTTGAAAACAGTCATTCATTTGTTTTTCCTCTATTTTTTCTTTGGCGTCGCTTATTACTGCATAATGGAAAACATGAAATATCGGTATATTTACGAGTACGAGTTCTACCCCGTGGCACGAGTGCTGCAGAACCAGTTATGTTCTAATGCAAAAGAGAACAGATCTTGTACGCCTAGTAATATATGATGGATGATTATGAAATTGGTACCGTTTATAAAGTGTCTCATCCTAACAATTTTCATGTAATTATATTTTTAGAACTGCTAAATAAATAAATTCTTAAATTGTAACTAAACGTTTACGTTTTATAAACTTAACGTGCATAAAATATCAATTACGTAAACAAAACAAATGTTTACATTGAACTGATTTGACAGGACACCATTTTATTGATGGATCAGGAAAATCATAAACGGTTGATTTTGTTGACAGCAAAAGCAACTCTTTGTGACAGCTAGCTGTCATTGGTATCGACTTAAGTACAGCCTCTATGGTCAATGCTCTATGCAAACTGCAAACAAATAACTTTTGAACGCAAAGTTCTAAAAATCTGGTAATTAAAACTGTACGTAATTGATGATATTACCAGCTAAATAAATACAACAATAATCCCTACCATGAGATACGCAAGGCGGTACGAAAGTCCCATACATGCCTGCAATTTTCCTTTTGTTAACTAGGTACATATGTTGCGGTCTCCTTCTGCTAGGACGTTATGCTCCAAAAGGAGGCTGCAGAGCGGGATCGGGAGAGGGCCGATCCCGCTCGAAGGAGGCGGCGAAGGGGACGTGGCAGAGGTCGCTAACTCCCCAATCGCCGCCTAAGGGTCGCTGCGGCCCCATCTTGGGGCGATGTGACCGCTGTAAACGACCCGAGACAGATGACACTCTGGTGTGGCCGGGGGCTGACGTCTAAGGCGGGATGCTGTTGCGCCTTTTACTCTGTAGAACAGTGAGAGGCGCAGTAGCGTCCTGCCCCAGGGTGACTACAATCACTCCGGGATGTGCCTCAGACATGAGGTACGGCAGGGAGCACTCCAGAAGTCGCCGATGCGTTCCTGGAGCTCCTCCCGACTGCCGAGGTAGGCCGCCGCGGGGTTTAGTGGGTAGACCGGTTCTCCGGGAGTCCCACAGACGCCATACGTTTCCCCAACTGAGGGTATGGTGCAAAAAGCATTCCCGGCGTCAAAAAAAAAAAATCGGTTGTCTGTAAAGTCGGTTTACTGACGATAGTTGAACGTGACAACGTCATGAGAAAATACTGATGGAATGGTTGCATTTTTCAAAAATGTATTATTGTATACGAGTAGCAGCTGTCCACGCGGACGCATCGCTCACTCAAGTAGGAGAGAGACAGATTTCGAACGCTGCCGAACGCGGAGGCCGATTGTGCCTCTTTGTCACTCGTTCCGCGCTCTCGCTTGCACTTCACGCCTTAAATGGAACGCCTCAGAGCGAGGTAACGCCGCATGAGTCAAAGGTACATATGTTGTAAAGTCTTTGCTTCTCATATATTAATGGCAATAACCAATTACAAAAGCTACTAAGAAAAACAAAAACTACTACCTACTACGAGCCCCGGCGCAAAATAGTTCGTCTAGTATGGAAAGTAGTGCAAAGCGTAAAATTTAGAAAGTAAATATTGGTAAAATAATTAAGAACTTTTTATTAAAAGTAAACCACAATTTAAGGACCATTTTAAAGTTTATTTTAACATAACTGAAATTCTTTCATGACTCTACATCTAATTTTTTTTTTTTAAATATTCTAAAAAGCAACGCAAAATTATTCGTCTACCCTTGTCACTCACGCAAAATAGTTCGTCTACCACTTAGTTGTGTCGCCTTTGCTCTCAATGACAGCTTTAATGCGAAGAGGCATGGTTGCAACCAACGCTGCACACTCCTCAAGCCTAATTTACTTGCCTTTAAGTCGCTCTTCGATCTTGATGGATTTTTACGGAGAACTTTTTTCATTTTCCACCATAGAGTTTCGATCGGCGACAAGTCCGGGCTGTTAGATGGCCATTCGATTGTAGGGATGCTTTTCGCAAGTAGCCACGTCTTCGTTGTCCTTGCAGTATGGCAGGAAGCACCATCCTGTTGAAAAATGAAGGAGTCTTGATGCTTAAGTGACGAAATACAGGGCAGTAAATTCTCTTCCAAAAGGTTTTGATACCTTGCAGCATTGATAGAACCATCCACAAACTGCATACCACCAACACCTTGTGCAGACATGCAGCCCCATATCATAAGAGACGCCGGAAACTTCACTATGCGTTTGAGAAAATCAGTATGAAATGCCTCATTTTTGTTCCAAATCACTTTTTTCCTTTCATCGCCGACTGTCACTTCAAATTTGGACTCGTCACTCAAAATGATACTACGCCACTGATCGGAAGTCCAATTTAAATGATCACAAGCAAACTTCAACCTCTTTTTCTTTTGTAACCCATTTTGGGGTTACAAAAGAAAAAGACCACAACCCACCCTTTTTAGGACTCTTTTGCAAGTATCAACTGAGACGTCTTTGTGAATCATATCCTTCCATTGCACCGTGAGTTCTCCAGCTCGAGCACGACGATTATTTTTGATATTTTTTTTTAGGATTCTGTTTTCTACTGCACTTGTGATGCGTGGTCGACCAGTTTTCTTCAAACAAGAAGTCATTATATTCTTTTTATAGTGCTGAATGATAGATTGGACTTTAAACCTGGGAAGTATCAAGTCTTTAGATATTTTGTAACTTGATTTGCCAGCATCGACCCCACAAACTATTCGCTTTCGAAGCTCTTCACACACGAGTTTGCCACGACCCATTGTTATTTGAAAACTAATGAAAAAGACTCAAATTTTCAGAATTTATACTGTCTCACTTGACAAATGACACAGAATTACTTTTACAAATTTAAATTATGCAACATAATTGTACAAAGAAGGAATAATCTTATTGAACTCACCGATACACGAACTCTTTTGCATCAATTAACAATTAGACGAACTGTTTTGCTTATAACTTTTTCGAATTTAAAACAGGATATGTATAAAAAAAATCTAAAATAGTTTATTGGTTCATAATTAAAAAATGGCATAAGTAACGCGACATATGATAGTAGAACAGCTTAATATTTTATGTAGATATACAAAAAAAATGAAGTTGGAAAAAATCTCACAGAGAAAATTTCACACTAGACGAACTATTTTGCATCAGGGCTCGTATAATATATACCTACTATTCAATAACAGAAAGTTTTTCACTATCCCCTAATTATATCTCTACTGGTAGGCGATTTTTTTAGATTATCGCTACCTTTTCGAAAAAGATATTTGTCTAAATTGGCGTTTTGAGAACTGTGTTATGTGTAGTTGGCGTGCTGAGAAATGGCCATTAGCCATTACCTATGCGAAATTGACGTGCTGAGAAGTTACGAACATCCAGGCCCCCTCTTTCCCACTGGGCACGTGCCTAAGGCCCCTCGATAGATAGAGGCCCCCTAATTCCTACCTACCTAATTCGATAATCGATATTTATAAAAATCCAGCGAAAATGGCTGATTATAATACCTTGTTTGGCTATTCTATCACAGACACTAATCAGTCAAGGTCGTAGGGGCCCATTATCCCAATGTGCCCAGGCCCTCCGATATGCTAAAGACATCAACAACTTTCTCCTCGATATATTCCCTACCTCATCTACGGCGCCATTATAGTGTCATCATCAACAGCCTTTACTACTCCACTGCTGGACATAGGCCTCTCCTTAGGAAGGAGGTTTTGGCCTATTATACCACGCTGGCCAGACGGGTTGGTATAGGGTTTGTTTCAAGTTTTCCTTCTCTCTGCAGTGCTGTTGTCCTGCGTAGTTTGCTTCCTTAGTGTTAGTTATTATAGTGTACCTACATTGAATTAAAACAAAAAACACTCAATAAATAAAACAGCAGGTGTCCTTACAAAAGTAGTTTATTCTGTATACAACTAACTTATAAGAAGAACTTTCTCCTCGAAGTCTCCATCTGGTGTCGTCTACCGGCGATGATCCACTCGTAATCTCCTCGTTTTGAGTCGAAGGTGCCTTGCTGCAGTGATATTAGCTTGAGCGTGAACCGAGGGCCCAGCTCACGAAGTTTAGCGCGCTTCCCGTCTTGTGTGAACTCATACCTGGGACAGAGTCATTTAATACGTTATTTCTAATAATTAAACTCGACTTCAACACCTGAATAATACCCCTACAAACGTACAACACCCTGCGTTTTCCCACTTCTGTCTATTTATATAGTAATACTAATGTGCCGTGATCGAAATAAACGTATATCCCGCGTATTAAATTTTCTTTTTCTTCTCCGCTACTTGAGGACACCATCGCGGCGATGCCAGAGCCAGACTGATATTTTCACTAACAACTTTCCCAACGGTTGGCCTCGAACGAATTTCTCTGTGGAGACTTTGTCATTCCAAGGTCCCGTGACGTTGCCTATCGTCTATCCAAGCCTTATTAAAGAGCTAGTCACAATTTCCCCCCCAGCAATCGACCTTATACAATTGTAAAAGGCTTGACTTTCAAACTATCAACTACGAGACAGAAATACACTTCAACAGCATATAAAAACTTATTTTAAGTAATTATTTTTGGGGTTGAGTTCAAAACGTCAATTATATCGATTGCTGTATTTACATAAAAAACAGTATAATATGCGATAGTAACTAACCGATGGTGTCTGAAGAATATGTAGTCTCGTTGGTTGTGGAAGGTGACGGCGCGTCGCCCTCGGAACTGAGGTTCGTAGTGGAACAGTGCGCCCAGCATGCGACCGACCGTCAAACCTAATCGCGTGCTGAAGTTGTTTAAGATTACCTGAAAATTGTATACATTTTAAGTAAGTAAGTAGTAAATTCATTATAATTAACATTTACATACACAACTTGAATGGTCATTCAAGTGATTTCAGAGTGGACTTTACAAACATACATGAACGGGACACAAAGAACACCCAGACTCAGAACAACAATTTATGGATCACACAAAGTGTCGTCCAATGTGGGGATCGAACCCACAACACTCAGCGTAGTAGGAAGCGGCGTGGCGACCGCTTAAACCACTACGCCATCCGTGCAGTCATAAAACTTTGCGTAATACAACAATCATCAAGCCCTTAACTTAGCTCAGGTCCTTAGATCAAAACACAGATTATATAATAATCCAGCATCCGTATTGATATTGGCAGGGGACCCCCAGATTTTACATGTAGACATAAAATCCCTTATGCGTGTCTATAAGGTTGGCTAGGACCCCAACACCTAGTTTGCATGTATTTAATTAATTGTCTGTTTTATCTTTAATAGGTATTTATAGAAAAAGTATCTAAGTATGTCTATGGTTTTTCTAGAACTAATAGAACAAGCTATGGAGCTGTCCAAGAACATTCTATTAAATTCAAAATTTTTTGCATTACATCTATATCTATGAAAAAAGAAACTGATTCACTCACTGATCCATCTGTGTGCACTAAGAAATTATTTAAAATAAGGGTGCAAAATGGTGGTTGGAAATTTATATGTAACTTCGTTATTTTTGTGTATAATTCGTTTCATATAGAGATAGATAGATATAAAAAGACGTACGGTATCCTCTACAATGTCTGATGTCGACCACCACATTCACGAAATGGCTATCAAAAGCTATATAATAATATATAATGATCGCACTGGCTGTGGTTACAGGCCAGTCAATCTCCCGGACCCCTCCGACAAGAAGCATCAGCAGTTCAAAGATATGTATAACCCCATATACAATATTGCCTTAACTCTCATAAGTATTCATAACTATAATAATAATAATAATAAGCCCCCTAAAAATCCAACCACACGTCCTGATCGACCATCTGATCACGTGGGGGGCGGACACACGAAAGAGAAATTACTGGCGTGGCTAACGTGGCACTGGTAGGTAGGGATTAGAGTAGGCAGGTAGTAGAGCGACAAAATAGACGGTTAATTAAATGGGTAGATAGGTGGATAAGTTAATGGATAGGTAGGCTGGTAGACAATAGATAGGTAGTTAAGCAGGGAGGTAGGAATGTAAGGAGGGAAAACCCAAGTCAAGGTGGAACAGAATATGCCAAGGGCTGCGTGGCTAAGGGGGAGCTTAGTCGATAATATTCGAACTCTGAAGAAAGGGGGACCTTCAGTTTAAAGTACCCTTGCCGTGGTGAACGCGGGGCTATGCCGCGGTGGACCGTATGTCCCCAGCTACTCGTGGGAACGAAATGATAAAAAATGCAAAATAAAACCAATAAGTATAATTTAAGGCCGCTACCCGGGGGTCGCCGGGACTCAATTAGAAATCATAATATTAATAACCAAACTGACAGACAGACTGACAATGACAATATTAGCTTAAATTCTTTGACATCGCTATCAGTAACTGAACCATATAGTCCCTCAACTAGCTCGTACAGACCTACACCGGTGTCTTTCGTGGATGAAGATTCACACGAAACACCGAATCCAACCTTAGCTGTTACGCAGGAGGTGAATGCCTTTTTACCTGCGTCCACTAAGAGTGGAAAACCTAGAGTACGCATGAGGTGGAGTAAAGAAGTGAACCTATTCATCATGCGTACGTACTACCAAATCACTAAATTAGAGACAGACATGACAACATATAGGAAACAATTACACGAACTTTTTATACGACACTATCCCGATATCAACGTTACTGAACAACGAATTGCCGATCAAAGAAGAACAATTGTTAGAAATAAACTACTAACCGAGGAAACACTACACATATTAAAAGAAGAAATACGAATGCAACTACAGCAAAATGAACACATCTACGAGTATATAGAAAATAATTCGAATCCTCAACTTCACAATACTCAATCAGTAACAACAGCATTACCTACACAGTCACAACCACACACAATCACACAATCTTCACAGATATCCACACAACCTGAGACTATAACTTTAACCCTTGATAATGATATAGAGATTATGCAAAATAACCCCTCATCAGATAATATACAAAAAATACAAGAAAAATTTAGAACAGCATTAGCGTTATATTCTAGAATGGATCCAATCACTCGACCAAAATTGCCTAAATTAAAGTACAGTAGGAAACTTAGTGAATTAACACACGTTTTTAATCATAACATACTACACCAATTTTTATCCGAAGATACACAATTAACAGATATTCATACCTTAATATACTGCACAGCGTTAGTTATAAGTGAAGAACTAAATTATAAAATAATAGATCACCCTAGAAATATACTAAGAAAGAATAGTAAACCTCCATGGCAAATAAGACTAGAAAAAGACATTGAACAACTTAGAGCAGATTGCGGCAGACTTACCCAATATATCAACAACAACAGGTCAAACAAAATAGTTAAGAGAGTAGAACAAATTTTTAGAAGACAAAGCACTCACACTAGACACGAAAATAATAATAGAAAACCCGAAGAATACCTAGACACATTAAAACAAAAATTAGCACTTAAAGTACATCGACTGAAAAGATATAAAAAAGCACAACAGCGTAAAAATGACAACATGTTATTCACCCTCAATGAAAAATCATTTTATAGAAACCTATCGAAACCACAAACTGCTACAACTAGACCCGAAAACATAGACATTCCTACACAGACACAACTTGAAACATTTTGGTCAGGTATTTGGGAAGAACCGGTACAACACAATGATAAAGCAGACTGGATTACAGAAGAAGAAAATAAATGGAATTCAATAGAAGAAATGGAATTTGATTGTATTACAGAAGACGATATTGCACACGTAACAGGTAAACTACACAACTGGAAATCTCCTGGCATAGATAAAATACATAATTACTGGTACAAAAAGATAACATCATTTCACAAACCTATAGCCAAAAACTTAACATATATAATTCTGGGGAAACAGAATATACCTGAATTTATAGGTATGGGTATAACATATATGCTGCCAAAAACCGCACACTCACCACAGCCTTCTCAATACAGACCCATCACATGCTTACCTACTATATATAAAATTCTTACATCAGCAATAGCCCACAAAATTAATATGCACATTGAACACAATCACATAATAGCAGAAGAACAAAAAGGATGCAGGCGGGGACACATGGGATGCAAGGAGCAGCTGATCATAGACTCTACTATCCATAAACATGCTACTACAAAAAACAGAAACTTACACTGCACTTACATAGACTATAAGAAAGCGTTTGACAGCATCCCACATTCTTGGCTTATAAAAATTTTACACATCTATAAAATTAACCCTAAAATCACAGATTTTATGCGCGATATTATGAGCCATTGGAAAACCACATTACATCTAAATATGAATGATAGAACAGTCACGACCCGACAAATCTCTATAAAAAAAGGTATATATCAAGGTGATTTCTTGAGCCCCTTGTGGTTCTGTCTTGCCTTGAATCCCTTGTCTCATTTGCTGCAGCGATGTCAGGCAGGATATCGTCTGAGGAATTCTACAGAAGAAACTATTATTTCTCATCTCATATACATGGACGATATTAAACTATATGCAAAATCCGATAAAGAAATGACAAAATTGTTACAAAATACAACAAAGTTTAGTAAAGATATAAATATGGAATTTGGACTGGATAAGTGTAAAACATTACACATAATCAGAGGGAAAATTCGCCCTGGGGACTACGCAGTGGATGAGTCAAGTACGATAGCAGCTATGGAGTCAACAGATTTATACAAATATTTAGGTTATAAACAACTTAAAGGGCTAGATCACACCTCAATCAAACAAATATTAGTTACTGAATTTAAAAGTCGAACTAACACTTTATGCAAAACCCAACTTTCTGCTAAAAATCTTATAAAAGCATTAAACACATACGCTATTCCAATATTAACCTACTCATTTGGCATTATAAAATGGACAAAAACTGACATAGAGCAAATAGAACGAACTACACGCACTACATTAACCAAACACAACCACCTACACCCTAAATCCGCCATAGAAAGACTTACTATCAAAAGAGAAAATGGTGGCAGGGGTCTAATAGATATTTATCATCTTTGGCAAAAACAAGTTTATAATCTAAAAACATTCTTTCGCACAAAATCACACACAAGTAACATCCATAAAGCCATAACTCTAAACGACTACAATTTCACACCACTAAACTTAAATGATCACACTGGAATACACAACCCTAATAACATAGACCCACAGGCAGACAAAATAGAAAACTGGAAAAAAAAGGTACTACATGGAAGACACCCTCATGATTTAGAGCAACCCCACATTGATACAATAGCGTCAAATTCATGGCTTAAAATTGGTAACCTATTTCCAGAAACAGAGGGATTTATAATAGCTATACAAGACCAAATAGTAAATACAAAAAATTATAGAAAATATATAATCAAAGATGCAACCGTTACAGATGATAAGTGCCGAAAATGCCACATTCAATCTGAAACCATTCAGCACATTACTGGAGCATGCATTACCCTCACACAAACGGATTATACACATAGACATAACCAAATAACTAACATCATCCACCAAAAATTAGCACTCAAACATCATCTTATACAAAACACAAACACACCTTACTACAATTATACTCCTCAATCTGTATTAGAAAGTAGCTCACACAAACTTTACTACGACCGCGCCATCCTCACAGATAGAACCATCCACTATAACAGACCAGACATAACCCTACAAGACAAAATTAACAAAACCACCTACCTAATTGATATTGCAGTACCGAATACACACAATCTACAGAAAACCATCACAGAAAAAATTAGCAAATACACAGAACTAAAAGAAGAAATAATACGAATCTGGAGACAGGAGAAAGTTTACATAGTACCCATAGTTCTATCTACAACAGGAGTTATACCTAAACATCTTCACCATAGCCTTAAATTAATCAATTTAAATGAATCCGTGTATTTTAACCTACAGAAAGCAGCAATATTGAACACTTGCCGAACAGTCAGAAAGTTCATGGATATTGAAGAGAACGGAACAGCACAACACACACAGCAACCACCATCTACATCTACATAACAAAGACACACACCTCACTGTATTTACTTGGTTTTGGCCCGTAAATACAAACGTAGTTGAAACCAGCCTTGAGCTGAGAAAAATTAAGATTACAAAAATAATAATAATAAAATTCTTTATTGCCACAAATTAGTATATACAGGTTAGACATTTCGAGATTATAGTCCAAACAGAAATAACATTATATAGTGTTCTGCTGGTACTTAAAATAGGATAACCTGTGCTATAAGTACCAGCAACCTCTGCAGTATCACTAAAATACATTTTTAGCTGGTTATAAAACAATAAAGATGCAATAAGAACAATCTAAACTACAATAGCTTGAAAGCAAGAAAAACATGCAATTAACTTAGGTATGTGTGTGTGTGTGTGTGTGTGTGTGTATGTGTATGTGCACGTGTTGCGTGTGTATGTGTATGCGTGTGTTGGGTTCCGTGACTGCCTGTTGATCTCGGTGTCAGTGTGTGGGTTTTTGTTATGTTTGTATTTTGTCTTTATGTCAACTTACTTCTGGTCTGTGGGTGGTTATCTCTTTATAATCCTTTTGCAGCTCTGGTGTTATTTTACAGCTAGACAATCTGAAGTGCGCAGTAGGTCCATTCGGCAAGTGTATCAGAAGAAATCCATTGGGCTGTTTCTGGTTCTCATTAATTATAATAACATCAGTCACTTGCTCGCGGATTGATGACTGGACAATACGCTTCACTGATGATCTGGAATATTTTAACGTCACTCAGCATATTTACATAAATCTATTTCTATCACCTTTTCAAATGGTTTGAAAATTCAAAAAGTATTTAAATTTGCCTTAAGGAGCATTATAATGTCTACACATCATCATCATCTATCATAACTATCGTCTTCCTGCTCTTTGCCATTGTATTTGGGGTTGCACAAAGCATAACATTGTAATGGGGTTAAAACGGTAAAAAAAAAGGTAAATTGGGGTAAGCAACCTAGTAAAGCTACGGTGAGAGATACCCTATATATTTGATGGGAAAAAGGATTGAGACTGCTGTAACTTGAAGAGGATGGGGATTTTTAACTATTTTTTTTTTTAATTTATTTCAATGTTACAACAGTATATAACAAGTTTTAATATGAATAGCATTACAACATAAACATATAACATTCACAGAGTAAAATCCTTAGAAAATGATTAAGAAAAGGTTGTTGCCAGATTAAAAAATATTAAAGGAGAAATTCCACCGATAGAACCGAATGATCTTAATTCAGACCAACTGGACTATAGTCAACTTACCTTTGTCTATACCTAGATATTGAGTTAGGTATCATTCTAGTAAGCTCCTTGCCAAATACCCTAGTCTTGGTATGTGGGTTGTCCGAGTAGGTTATCAGTACTTTTGGTTCGTAAGAGTTCTCATAGTACGAAGATAATTCATCTAGTTCCATATCTTTTTGTGCCTGTAAATGATACAATTAGTTCCTTGAGTAAGTGTTAGTTTTAACGTGAGTATTGTACAGAAGAGTTTTAGATGTAGCAAAATCCTACAGAAGCTCACATTTATCCAACATGATTAGCAAAGGGCTGTCTTTGTGCTAGTCTGTCGAATTAAGCAATTCAGCTTAAGCTGTGTGTAGCTGGTCCTTTTGGTGTGAATGACCTTCTGAATAGAGGCAATATACTTGATGATGGGATTGTATAATAAGCCTCTGCCCCTCTAAATATTCATCTCCATATACTTATAACAGCTAGACTGAGCCTAAATGCATTTTTAAACAAAGTTGTGCTATCAGATAATGCAGTATGAAATATTGGGTGAAAAGTTTGTCCACATTTCATTTCCACTCTCGCGAATAGAAATAAAACGTGGGCAAACTTTATACGCCTAATAGCAGCATCACTGCATTCAAAAAACTATTGAAACATAACCTAACCTCTAATTGTTCTTCTTCGTCCACATTAACAAGCATAGTCTCATCTTTTTCTCGAAGGGACTCGAGCGTATGCGGTACTTTCTTGGGCACATCATCGCCTTCTTGTTTCTTCTCTAACTTGCGCCTAAAATTAAATGAAACTAGTTATATGTGCACAGCTGTAAGAAACACGTATTTCCACTTATTCACCACACTTACTTCTTTTTATCCTTTCCGCGAGCCATTTTAGATTAATTATAGAACTGCTAGTATTAAAAATGTTAATGACTGATTTATTGTAAATGAACAACAATTAACAGAATAGATACGATTGTTGATTCCCAAAATCCGCCTCAGGACCACAAGGCGTGTTTTTGTTTTGACAGGATTGACTGACTGACTGTATTGGTTTGACAAGTAGTGTTGCAGGGCTAAAATTAATTTTCTTCGGTCCGGTTCATTCATAGAAATGGAAATAGAAATACGTTTTTTTTATTGCAATGCAATCATTTGTACTGTTGGGTCACATCATCATCACATCAAAAGCCTTTAATAGTAAACTGCTGGGTAATAAATGACAGTAATAAGTGAAATGATTTATCTCTTTGTAGTCAAAATTTTACTTATTTGCAAAGTGACATCAATTTAAATACCTTGGCTACAGTTTTGAGTTTATTTCGACTTTAGGCAAATCTTTTTTGATGTAAGATGTGACAACTAAAAAGATAGGCAAAGAAAAACTAAACAGGGACACGACTTTAATTTTCAGTTCGATGATCATGAAATAGTATTTCATTTTCATTCATTTTAATCATGTTTATTAGTGTTTTATTTTATTAATTGAATAATCTGAGATACACGCTTAAGGATTACATTTTTTTTGTATGTTTGTGTATGTATTGTAAAGAGCAATTTCAAAGCTTTGGCAATCACTCAAAAATAAAAAAAACACACTTATGCCTTAAACGGGAGTAATAAAAAAAATGTTCTCTGTTTCAAATGACTCAAATGACTACTTTGTCAATCTATTTTTTGTTTATAATATTATTATTAACTAAGAAGTCTATTACTATAACAAAACCGCGCAACTTTTGCTTTTTGTATGCTCTGCTCATCACCATTATCTACTTTATTCCTCGGACTCGGACTACAAAGTACACTATGATGAGCCATCTGATCAGTGCAGTTCAGAGGTTATTTAGCACTATATGGTCTACTTCTATGTTTTTAGAGTGATGCTGAGTACAATATATGCAAAGGATTTAGTAAAATAAGACACATAATTTGTATGGAATATTTTAATTCAATTGCACATCTTGTCTGGCAAGCTCCAACAACATAGGATCGTCGAAGAACTTGTTGATAGAGACGTCTTCGCTGAGTCCCTTACGACGCCGCGTCTTTATCATAAACTCACGAGCCAAATGTGTCGCTGGCTGCGGTTCCAGTGGCCTGGAGGGAGAAAAAAAAATGTTTTATTAATATTTGAGATTACAATTTCTACTGAGAATGTATTTGACAAGTGGTAGACCAATTTCTTGTAAAAAAATTGTTTTGAGTAATACAGTTACAAACTATACACTACGTTAGTATTAATGGTCTGCAGTTATTCATTTATTCTTAGCTCATTTCGTGACTCTTTTATTTAGGAAGTTGTGTAAAGCTGTCAGTCCTTATACTTCTTATGGAAGGGTGAATCGCTTCGTTACGTAACGCGTTACGGAGCCACTCTGTCTGGCTTCAATTTCTCTTACGCATACGGCAGCGGTAGGCAGGCTCCTCCTCTCTTACTCTAACACACAGTGCTATCCGTATTTCGGACCGACGCTTTGCATAAAATTTAAGTAATAACCTAAGCTTTTCTCAAGTCAATCAATTTCAATATTAAATAGTTCAACTTAGATTAGTCTTAGTTATCACTTCTGTTGCGTCCCAAGACGCACACGTTTTTTTTTAAAATTGGGAACACTTGATAGATACACAGCTGATATTCTAAGTAATCATGGATTATGTTAACCTATAATTTTTCCTTCTTTTTTTTTTCATTTCACGTAAACAGTTCCGTTGCTACACAGTACAGTGAATACAGTATGCAGAAGTGGTCTCGAAATGAATTCTGATTTTCCTCTTAACTTTTTTTCAAATTACCAAAATTCGAAAAATATTAAGCTACCTGATGATAATGCTCTTGTCAAGTGGATCACCCGGCACGATCTGCCAATGGTGGAATACTTGAAGACAGAACGCTTGACCCTGTGTATGCGTTCGCAAATCAGTCTCAAAGCCAAACGAGTCTATCGCGGGGACAAAGGCCTTGATTGTGTACAGAGGTGAACCAGGTACTGGAGCATCTTGTGTGACGTGACCTGTTGATAAGGAAATACAAATTAAATGGTAAATATCGTTTTGTGATTGTTGGCCTGTACCTACAAGGCATTTCTTCATGGTATTGGTTGCGGTCCGATTGCCGCATTTACACTCAAGAGTGTTCCAGAAGAAGGAACACTTCTCCAGGACGGACTCCTTCCATAAGCGCAAAAGCCTCCTGTCCCAAGAGGCCTCGGCGCTTCATGAAGGCCTTCATAGGCCTCTAGGAGCATTTCTTTTTGGTGAAGAGGGCGAATGAGCAGACACATTCTGGACATAGGGCTCTTCTTAGAAAGGAGGTTTTGGCCTACAATACCACACTGGCCAGATAGGCTGGTATAGTTATATTGTCAAGTTTTCCTTCTCATTGCAGTGTTGTTGTCCTACTAAGTTAGCTCCCTTAATCGGCTCTTACGACACACATGGGATGAATAGGGGTGGTAACACTCCATATTCTTGATCCATCACACCACCGGTGCCCACCTTTCAGTTCCCCTCCCCAGAATCAGAGACTACTTAACATCAGTTTTCTGTGAGGCCATGTTATCACTTGAGCCTGGCCAATAATGAAAAAAAAATTAAAGTTACCTCTTCTCTTAGCAAGTACAGTGTATACTGCAGACACGCAGTCAGCAGGCGCTTGCACTTCCACAAACAGGTAGGGTTCCATCAGACGAGGTGTTGCCATAAGGAAGGCTGAGTACGCCACCTGGTGATCATAATCATGAAATGCTATTTAGAAAGTTCCAGAGTTGTATAAATAAAATCTATACGAATATTGTAAAGCTGAAGAGTTTGTTTCACTATGGCTCTAATCTCAGAAACTACTGGTTCCAATTAAAATTTATTTTACTGTTGGATAGCCCATTTATCTAGGAAGGCTATAGGCTATAAAACATCATGCTATTACCAATAGGAGCCGAGCATAGTGTAATAAATGATGTAATACGTTAGTAGTTCAATAATACACACAAATGGAAGTGGTGTGTATTAAATGCGATTATGACGTCATGGCTCAATTAATTTTAATGTATTGTGTAAAATTAAAAGAAAACTCAAAGGAAATGAGATGTGTAAGGTTATTATTATTAGACTAGCTGGCACCCGCGACTTCGTTCGCATGGAATTTGAAAAGCGCTGCCATAATGGTGTAATATATATTAGGTCTTTACCTATGAAATTGCCGTTTTGTATGCAATAAGTGAAAGTATGTAGACCTTGCACCTACCGACTATTACTTTTTCCAAAATTCCTTTTTAGTGGGTAAAAAATTTAATTCCCGAGAGGCAGTACAAAATGCCTTTGAAGAGTTTGTTGCCTCCCGTCCAGCTGATTTTTACAAGAAAGGCATTAATAAACTGCCAATGCGTTGGCAAAGATGCGTCGATTGCATGGGTGATTACTTCGAATAATAGAAATAAAAAAGTTTGAAAAAATAAGTACTTTCACTTATTGCATACAAAACGGCAATTTCATAGGTAAATACCTAATATATAGGTGAGATACTCCTTATATGGACAGCAACCTGGTAGTAAAATTTTATCAAAATCAATCCAGTTGTTTTGCAAATTACCCGGAATAAACGGACAGACAGAGAGACAAAAAATATTTAAATTCAAATAATCGTCTGAGTATGAAAAAAACCTATTGTTTTGACATTACAAACAGACAGCTAAATTTTATTTATTTGTATAGATGAACAAACTTACCCTCCTAGCTGTAGGTATGATCTGCCCACCGCCTCTGTGTAACGGCTCGTTTGCAATCACAGCGTCGAGGATCTTAAACTTCACGTTGCGAATCGGCTCCTCGCACAACGGACCCTCGCGGGTACCCCATTGGAAACCTGGTTAATTAAAATAGAAAATGATCCATTAAGGGATGTCTGAAAGATTGTAAAACATCTAAATTATTTTGTATAATTATTTTCAAATTTTTTGTTCCATGTGGTGACGGATTAAGAACACAGAGTGTCACCACCCCTGTTCATCCCGTGGGTGTCGTAAAAGGCGACTAAAGGAGCTAACTGCGCAGGACAACAGCACTGCAGAGAGAAAGAAAACTTGACACAAACCCTTTACCAACCCGTTTGGCCAACGTGGTATAATAGGCCAAAACCTCCTTTCTAATAGTGATGTGCCGCATCGTTAACAAAGTATATCCGCGGATACGGATCCGAATACGGATATTTGGTGTCAAGATCCGCGGATACGGATCTTAAGTTTCTTACTCAATCGGAGCCCGTGACCTTGATAGTTGTCGCCACTTTGCCGTTGATATTTAAATAATTCATTATTTTAATAAGCTAATACAAAGATGTTTGATTGATCTCATTATAAAGATAGCTCTTTCAGTACCTATGACCTGCCTAGTTGATTTAGTGTAGTACGATAAATGATTGCAATACAAAGGTGCCAAATATTTGTTTTAAGAAATAAAAAGTAATCTGAACAATAACCATTATTCAGAGTTAAATTTAAATTTACTGAAAACCTCTGAAGTGCATATTACTAACATTATAAACAACAACTTTTCTTCTGGACTAACACCGAAAACGAAAGAAAAAAAATTGATTCTCCATACAAACTAACAACATTTGATTGGTCATTTGAATGGAGGGCCAATTTTTTTTCATTTTGACGTTGGCCAGAAAAAAAGTTGCTGTTTATAGTGTTACAAACACATACCTAAGAGTTTTACAGTGAATACAAAATCACCTATATAGAATTTCATCTATGTAATATGTATTGAAAGATCCGCCAAAAAAGTCACGGATACGGATACGGTTACGGATCTCTCTTCTCCCTTGGATATCCGCGGATACGGATACGGATACGGATATCCGGCACATCACTACTTTCTAAGGAGAGGCTTATGTCCAACAGTGGACTATTAAAACAACAGATGTCCAACAGTGGCTGTTGATGATGATGATTTTCAAATACATGGCGACGCTACGGAGGTGGCCATGTGAACAGCCGGTCTGACCCTCTGTATTAGAAGTTTCAAATCAAAAAGATCATTCAAGTTTATTTATTTATGTATTTTAACTATATGCACAAATTTATGCCTCGGCGCACTTGACGTCTGTCTCTGACCACGTCTACTGAAACTTGCTCGAAACCATCAGGCAATGCAAATGTATAACGCCTATTAACTGCATTATAACCCCCCCTTCACACCTCCAAGAATAGGGAATATGCATGTATTTCTTTTATTTTTTTAAACGATTCTACTAGTTATTACATTACCAAAAATAAATATAACACATCCGAAATATAAACCGTTAAGCAAAAAAAATAATTATTAAAATCACTATCATTTTGGGGCAATTTGAACACGTCCATTTTGGCGCGCTTTTTTTATGACGTCAGATCACACTTTCAGACGAATTCGATGTCAACAACAGAGTGAAGTTCACAAAGTTTGTGAAAGTTAAAAAAGTGAGTGATAACACTTAACTTATTACCATGGAAAAGCCAATAAAAACTTATTATAAATATTGTGCCGTTCCTTTGTGCCCAAATAATATCAAAACTGCACCTGACAAAGTATATTCAGTCATTGTGCTGTCTTTCTACCCGGGAATTTAATAATTTAACACTGAAAACGTATTAGTTATTAACTTAAAATGAAACAAATAATCACCAGAAACCAAATTTTACAAATACACAAAACTTGTTGACACTCTTGACAGTGTAGGTTGACGTCACGTTTTATTCAACCAATAGCGTTGCGTTTTAGAAATTTGCGAGGGAATCTTAATTGCCAATTTTTGATGATTAAATTTCACTATTAAATTATAATAAATTTCAAAAATAATTGCATGGGTATCTTTTTTTAACAATAAAAATTACAAATATTTATATTTGTAATTTTTATATATATTAATATTTTGTCCATTTTGGTGTCACGTGCATATTCCCTATTAGTACTCCTCTAATAACACTCCGGTCGACTCTACCTGTGCCGAAGTATAACTCTGCCATGGTCAAAGTAGAGTTGAAATCCCATTACCTTGTACGATGCTATCCTTGACTGAGGCCAGCAGATGTTTGTCTACTTCAGACGGCAGTGTATCGTCTACTAGAATGTTCGGCCCCGTTGAGTCCGGTCCGAACGCCCAAATTGAACGAGCCGCCAGTAAATCCCAATCGTATCTATCATAATAAAAAGAAAATACAATAAAAAAAACCCAAATTTATCTTTCCGATTTAAAAACGAATCCATGCTATGTGACCCATTCAGTGGGTCTACCGCTACCCACACAGCTCTGCAACACCCACAGATTTGACTGGTAGTAATCTAGACAAAATTGTCTATGACATTGAGTCCTTCCTTGACTTCCTGCAAATATCATAGACAAAATTGTCTATGATATTTGCAGGATATAAGTAAATTATATTTAAATAAGAGGATAAGATATGGAGCTAATAGTTATTTTAATAATATTTATGATATTTTTTTTATGGTATAAGGGGGCAAACGAGCAGACGGGTCACCTGATGGCAAGCAACCACCGCCGCCCATGGACACCCGCAACTCAAAAGTCACAAGTGCGTTGCCGCCCTTGGATTTGGGCTCCGGTAACCTCACTCACTCAGTGAAAGGCAACGAAAGAACGCTTAACACCGGTTTTCTGTAAGGCCGTAGTATAAAATAATAATAATCAAATGATAATAATTGGTTGGTAATGATTTCAAATTCAAATCTCACTTTGTCTGGAAGAACTCTCCAAGTCTCTTTCTGTCCCACGTGACGCAAACAGCCCCCGCTTCGATATCCTCGGCCAGGCCGCGTTCAAGCGGTTCCGCTATCATCGTCAGCTTGTTCCGCTTATTAGGCGTCTCAGCGAAACATTTGAGTGAAGATGTCTCCACTACAGTCTCGCAGAAGGAGACCACCGGATCCGCCACTAAAATAAGGCATATAATAAATAACAGAAGGTTTACTCACTTAAGGCATATAATAAATAACAGAAGGTTTACTCACTGAAGGCAAACAAATAAAAACTCTGTTTCAAGTATTTAGGTGCAAAATAGCGTGAACACAACTCAGCCTATCTTCAGTATAAAAATTTGTGAGCTTTGGTATTCCTGCTGAATATCTATACAAATAATTAAAATTGGAGATTCTGTTTGTAATATTAAAATAACCGCTTTTTACTAAATGCATATGCATGTTTACACGGTACATATGCCAAAATAACTTTTTTTTTGTCTGTCTGTTTGTTCCTAGTAATCTCTGGAACTGCTGGACCGATTTCGACGGGACTTTCACTGGCAGATAGCTGATGACATAAGGAGTAACTACTACTAGGCTACTTTTTTTAGACTAGCTTCGCCCCGCGGCGTTGCCCGCGGTTATAACAACAAACTCAGGTAACACCGCGGGTCTCAGCTAGTATAAAATAATGACAATATATAAAGCCACATCCTGTATACATATTTTTCAGTGTTAAATCAATATGCATGTATCAAAAAATATTTATACCCAGCTCACCTTTGATGTCAATCTCTGAGTACATATTCCTTAAATCGTGCATAACGCAGTCGAGGTACAGCTCGCCAGTGCCCAGGATCACGTGTTCTCCGGACTCCTCGACACGTGTTGACAGCAGAGGGTAGGATTTGTTCACCTGCGGAGCAATACTTTACTGTATAAACTTTACATGTAATAACAATATTATTATTTTTTCTTTTTTCGGAGTTTATTGGAACTAAGTTCCTTATCGTGCGTTACAGACTGAGTCAATGGGAGCGAGACCGAAAAATGTGTTACAAGACATTTTGCCGACACTTCAGATGGCGCGTCGACGCTCACATGAAAAGAACTTCATCCATTTTTGTTTTTACTTTTTTTTATATTGGGGCTAAACGGGTCACCTGATGGAAATTGGCTAGCACAACCCATGAACGCCTGCAACTCAAGATGTCCGCCCGCCTATATGTCCCTCCTCTCAGAATCAGAGGGAGGGTGATTGGACTCCAGTTTGGGATTACGCTCTTTTCTCGAACGTTAAATCTGTCTGAAAATACCGCAAGCGACAATTTGTTCCACAGATTACTTGGGCAAAAAAAAAGGTTTTTTGAAAAGGTAGGTTTAACATAATAGTCTTATTCCATATAAGCGTATTTAATTGATGACCTAAACCATCATACCTTCCTCAGTCCATCCAACATCTTAGGCAGTTCAGACGGGTTGACAGGTTCCACAGCTATCTTCACGACGGCCTGGGTATTGAATCTCAGTGGGGTGAAGGTGTGGAGCTCGGCGTCTTCGTCTCCGGTCACAACGGTGCAGGTCTTCACTATGGGCTGGTCGATGCCCTCGATCAGGGCCCAGCATCCAGCTGGCACACGATTCAATTCCACCTACCAATACAGGTACATTATAATCTATTTAAATATATAAAATTACTTTGCCCTGATCAACTCATTCATCAACGAAGAGCCTAAACGGCTTTGGATACAAACTTGAAATTTTGGCAGTTGATATTTTATTGTCTAAAGAAGATCTTTTGGAAATTTCACCCCTAAGGGGGCAAAATAAGGGATGAACGGGAATAAGAAATAATAATGCGGGCGATGCTGCGAGCAATAGCTAGTATTGTATAGAAAACAGAATTTTGAATTACAGTAAAAATTTCGTAAATGGTTTTCATACGACATTAAAATAAGTTTTTGTGTGTTATTGCATTCAAATGACTACAGCCTATTCGCGTTAAGAAAATAGTGACGTATCGATCAAGACCTGCCCCTGACCAAAATAGGTTCCAAAGAAATTTCGTATATAACTTAATGTGAATGCATCGTAAATAATTGTGACACATACCTTATATCTAGCCTCGTATATCCATAGCCGGCCAACATTCATGATACGTGAATCTTCCTCGTCTTGCGTACTATAATTTTCTCCCAACACACGAACTGTTTGACCCGCGTACAGCGTACCCGACATAATTCGGGCTAACACCTGAAACAAAACACTAATTAATAATAATAATAACTTATCTTTAATTTTTGGTTCTATATTTGATGTCAGAGATAAGAAAATTTAAAAAAAAATGTGTTTATGTCTCATCGGGCTGTGTGGCCCCGCACCAAACCGGTTCCGCGACCTTCAACAACGGCCGGGCGAGGGCTGCTCGGCGCGGGCCAACACTCACTTAAGAAATGTCCACATTTAAATGATTATTGTTATAAGTAAAATACATTTTAAACAGTCTACTACGCGTTTATTTTTACAACGTTCAAAACACACATCCAGTCAAGCACACAAGCCACACAACTGGAGCTTGGCATTCAGACAAAATGCATAAGTATTCTAGTATTAATTATATCCAAACATGTTATGTGTAATCTTTTATCTATATTAATAACTAGCTGACCCGCGCAACTTGGTCTGCGTCTCTCAATAATAATAAATTTTCTCCGTTTTGAAACATTCTTCATTGGTGCTCCGCTCCTATAGGTCTTAGCGTGATGATATATAGCCTATGGCCTTCCTCGAAAAATGGGCTATCTAACACTGAAAGAATTTTTCAAATCGGACCAGTAGTTCCTGAGATTAGCGCGTTCAAACAAACAAACAAACAAACTCTTCAGCTTTATAATATTAGTATAGATAACCTAATTAATTAATCATAACTAATAATTTAAAAAATAAACCCACCAAAAAGAATGTACAATCATCAGTGGGATACATTTTCGTGGTGTGTGCAACCAGTCGTCCAGACTGGTCACAATTCAACATATCGTCGTACAAGGGACCGGAGCCCCCGCGGTACGTGTGGGACACCTTGCGCGGCGCCGCGTCCAGCGGTGACGGCACGTGGCGAACTATCATCTCCACGAAACCGCTGAAACAACATTTATGGTAATTGAGATATCATTTGTCTACTCGCTGTCTGACAGACACACCAGACAGGCAAACTGGTCCTTCGAGCCGGACCAGTTGGGTTATAACATAAAAAAATTAAACGGACTGTAAATGGCTTGGTGCTTTATTCTAAATGAAATTGGTACGTGACATTTGATGTCTACGTATCGTAGCAAAGTGAGGTGCGTGTGTCGCAGACGAAGAGAGCGTATGGACACATCTAAACGGTTTGTGAACAGAATTATTATGCAGCAATGATTTAATCCACAAACAGAATAAAACTTAAGAATGGATGCTAAACTATAAACAATTTCTATCTTGCACAAATCTTTTTTGATTTTTTAATAAAAAAAATTAATTACAAATATGTTAACGAGCATTTCTTGAATACACGAGATATTACAGATAATTTTAGTCATTTAACTATCATAATTAAGATGAGCGGTATGTGGTTTGCGTCATTTCTGCATAACACGGTTCAAATATAGTCTAAACAACATGAAGACTATTATTTAACATGATGATAATATAAGATATGGTCCGTTGTCGAAAAAAAAGAAGCTTTTAAGTGCAGGGATACGATAAACAATGCCATACTAGAGGAGAGCATTGCAATATTCACAACCTTTTTAAATTATTATTTTTAAAAGACAATGCATTAGGAATATATCCTGTGTCGCGGGGGACTTTACAAACATACATGAAACGGACACAACGAACACCCAGACTCAGAACAACAAGTTATGGATCACACAAAGTGTTGTCCCAATCTGGGGATCGGACCCACAACACTCAGCGTAGTGTAAGCGGCGTGGCGACCGCTTAAACCACTAAGCCATCCGTGCAGTCAAAAAATTCACTTTAAGGGTAAGAATTGTTATCAAGGAGTTTAATTAAGTGTTAACAGAAAAGTTTTCAATTTCTAAGAAATACTCGTATGTCCAATTTCAAAAATAGATAGGAAATGTATATTTTATAATATGCACTTTTCCGAGGTAATTAATACAGCGGGTACAGCGGGGATAGGTTACATTAGTTCTTATCTTTTTTTTTTTTTTTTTTTTTTTTTAACGTGTGGAAATCCCCTCGGACCGTCACCCCTCCGGGGTTTGCGGCGGGGTGGTGTGTCGGACTCGGACCGACTAAAACCACACGGTGTGCCACTCTGCGCCTGTAACAGGAGGGATCCGGGAACATTAGTTCTTATCTATGTCAACAATGTAGATAAAAATTCTGATTCTCAGTTTACTAACGGGTATATGTATTTTATATAGTGTTCTCAGAAAGCATTTGTTTTTATAGATTTTATAGTATCATTTCAGAAATATATACAGTTCCCTGTGAATCTTTAAAACATCATTTTACACATTTTCTAAATAGAGTCGGAATTGTATGTGCTTCCTAGGAATTGTATAAAATTCCTTGATTTCTTACGTTTCCAGTAAAATAAGTAATCAAAGTAAGTTGGTATCAAAACATGCAGGCGAATGTATAAGACATCTATATTAATGGTTAAAAAGAAATTGTATATTACCAAAAGTCTCCAAAGAATCTGGTGCACACAAGACGCAACAATGGCCGCACGTTTAACTTTGACTCCTGTTTGGTAAGCTTGATGCCCAGTTCTAATAAAACAGCAGGCAACGTGTCGTCTACATCACCAACAACCTAGAATATGAAAAATTAAAAATATTAATTGCCAGTAAAAATACATTTTTAAAATATATTTTTTGCTGTCAGCTATAAACCTGAATAGGTTGTTTGTTTCGTTCTCTTTAAACTAAACTCTCAGGAATTTTTTTGTTCAAATTAAAACATTACTTTGGTGTTGGATGGCCTGTTTATCGAGGAACACTCTAAGGCTATATAACGTCATGCTATGACCAATGGGAGCCGAGAAACAATGAAAAATCTTGCAAAAACTGGGCAAATTAAATTGCAGGCATTATAGTAGGGGAGCCCATGATGCTAAATGTGATTGTGGGTGCTATTGCATTTGATATATTAGGTAATAGAATGAATAAAATTTATATAATGGATAACAGTATATATGGGTAAAATAAAAGGAGGAAAAAGAGGTACTCAAAAATGAAAGGGGCGGAAATCGAAAAAAAAAATATTCGGGCGCATCAGAAATTTTGGCGATATTTTATTTGGACGCCAAAAATGCTCCCACACATCATCATCATCAACAGCCTATAATAGTCCACTGCTGGACATAAGCCTCTCCTTAGAAAGGAGGCTTTGGCCTACTAAATCACGCTTGCCAGACGGGTTGGTATAGGGTTTGTGTCAAGTTTTCCTTCACTCTGCAGTGCTGTTGTTCTGCGTAGTTTTTTCCCTTAGTCGGCTTTTACGACACCCACGCGATGAATAGGGGTGGTGACACTCTGTATTCTTAATCCGTCACCACACTGACCCATACCTCCCATTGCAAGGTAAATAACAGCCGGTCCCAACTGAAGGCGAGTTGCTCGAGATGAAAAGCTATGGAAGGTGTTAGAGGAGACTTATTCCAAGTGGCATACTGAAGTAACAGACATCCTGTAAAATATTACAGTACTTCAGAAACCTATCTAAAATGTTCAGGGTAACAGTTTTATTAATTGATTGATATGTTTGTTTCTTGTAGTGGGTAAATGTTTACGGTTTTTGGTTTACTTGTGTATTTTTTGTAAGTTTATGGAGCTGTAATAAGACTTTATCAAACTGCCTCTGAAATAAGCACCATCATTTAAATACACTGTAGTGTGTTCATTCTCAAAGGATACCAATACAGTGTTACAGTGAGTAGAGGTTCTTAAAATCCAGAGTAAGTGAAATATTTTCATTTCGCCTTAAAAAATGGTTTATGGTTTAAGACATTTATTTCCTCAAAAGAATATTTACATTCGTTTGTCAGAGAAAATACAAGATAAAAAAAAGTAAGTAACAAGTGCCGGAGCGGTGCTTAAATTACATATTATTGTTTTTACATCTAAGTAAATAAATATGTAGTACAAAACTATTAATTAATAAATAAAGAGGGTAGCTATCACAAAACAAAACCAGCCGGACCCACGCCTGCCGAGATTACCAAGTTTGCAATATTGCAAGTTGTAAACAAGTATGTTATGGCCGTATTACATATTGTATGGCGATTGCTATCGTACTTCTATCGAGTGACTGTTATCATGTATTTTTGTTTCGTTTTTAAATTAGCTTTATACCATTAATATGTAGCCTACTGTTTGTTAAATATTAAAAGTATTTTTCATTGAAAAATTCATTCAATTTTCATTAAAATAAGAAACTAACCTGTGCAAATATCTTATACAGAGGCTCCAAAATAAACTCAACAAAACTCCTCTGAGCAGATGCATGAGGCTGTTTCTTTGTGAACCTTCTTGTCTTGGCATTAAAGTATATGTCTCCCCAGAGCCAAGCGGCCATGTCAGATGCCTTGAGTCCCGAAGTAGGATGTGAGGCAGCGTACATCGCCGCGAACGACTCCACCGTGAAACAGACGTCGTATAGAGAAGATGCGAAGCAAACGTTACCTGGGGAAAAATGGCATACATTAAACTTTCATGAAATAAGTTGTATTTACTGCAAACATGGCTGCAATTTAAGGGTAACCAGGGTTACCAGTTAGAGGAGAAAGGCAAACTGGTCAATTCCTGCAGCTAATGTGAAATGCTGGTACTTCTTACAGTAAGTCCACTACAATGCTTCATGAATATTTGAAAAAAAAATAGTTTGTGGTTTTATAAGTCATAGTACATATAGTTGGACATATAAAAGAGAAGTTTTTTTTTATTTTAATAATAATTCCACTAAAATAAGAAGAAAAAATATATTGTAAGACAGTATAAAGATATTGGTTTCTAAACTTATCATTAATCAAGTACAAGACTCAAATAACATAGAGAGACAAAATATTCTTACAGGCTTGAAACAAATCAGGCTTGCCTAATTGGAACTGCAAAATGAAATTGTAAACTTACCCAACAAAGGAGAGAATATAATAGCTGGCTCATCAGGATTATCTTGCGGTTGGTGTGTTTCTAACATCGAATTTAGCTCATCAATAATATGTCTAAGTTTATAATAAGCATCTGCAGGGGGCAGTTTCAATTCTAGAATAAGTCTATCAATCTTGTTTATACAGAGAGTAAGCGGTACTCGTTCTTGAACCGCATGCCTTAGGAGACGCTCGGTGTTCAACATTATTCCTTCAGCGGCGTCTACGAAGAGTACAGCACCTGTGGGTAGAAAATTCCCAAATATAATTTGAGTCATTGTTACATTCATCATGTCATGTTTGTTGACACAGTTTATTGATTTGTAGAAACAATAAAGTTGACAATCTAATTAATATATAGTAATATTTCTGATTCTACTGCATTCCGACATGGGCTGCTCTCTCCTAGATATGATCAACTTATTTAGTCAGATGCATTCAGGCCCTTTATGTGTCACCCCTTTTTTTTTTCGTGCGGAAATCCCCTCGGATACCACCGGTGGCATGTCGGACTCGAACCGACTAAAACCGCACGCCGTCTCGGGTACTAATAGCCGGAGAACCAGGTATACCCTAGAAAGGAAGTCCCTGGTGCCCCGACATACCTCGGGCCATCTACAGACGAGTAGACGACCCCCCCCCCCCGTGTGGGAACCCCATGTTCCCTCTGCTCCCCGGAAGCGAGCGCGCTTCGCAACGCGCTCGCCGCCACCCCGGCCTGCTTCTGCTAGGGTGACAGATGGCCTCACCTGTCACCCCCAGGCCTGCGCTTATGGAGGACGGAGGTCATTCTGCGACCTCCGGCGCCTGAGTCGCCTGCGGTACCTGGCACGTTCCCGGGCCTGGCGCGGGAGAGTTCTAAACCTCTCCCGGTCCCGCTTCGCCGTCTCCTTCGCGAGCATAACTTGCTCGCAGAAGGAGAAGGCAGAGTTCCACGTACTCTCGCTCCGCACGATAGCCGCAATCAGGCTCTCGAGCGAGAGAACTCCCACTCCGATGGCCGCCACGAGGTCTCGCCTCTGCTCAACCCACGCCGGGCACTCCGCCAGCGTGTGGAGAGCCGTGTCCACGGTCTGGCCATCGCAGTGGTGGCACTCAGGCGTTGGCTCCTTGCGGATCGGACACAGGTGATCCCCGAAACATCCTTTCCCAGCGATCACCTGCGTCAGTCGGTATGAGAGGGTCCCGTGACGCCTCTCGAGCCAATCCTCCATAACGGATCTTACCGCCGCGATGACGGCGTGCCCGGCGCTCGATTGCCCGAGTCGTTCCCTCCACTCCCCTATGATGACCTGGCGGAGTTGGGATTTCCGGTCATCGATTTCTCGAACCTCTTGTGTAGACTCTAAAGTCATAGATAAACAAACACAATAGCAACAATCTCTGTTTTGTCAAATATTTAGCAAATATTTATTTATATATATGTATCGAAAATCTATTTTTATGCCAGTGCCGATCTACAACTGCCCGTTTCCAAGGGGTTGAGCCTTATGAGAACATACTCACATTTATTATATAATTTTAGTATAAAACTTACCATCAGAGATCCTCAAAGCAGCAGTAACTTCATCACTAAAATTCACATGTCCCGGAGTATCCATGATGTTAAGAAGATGGGACTTTCCTTTGATATTCTTAAGCAATAGTGTTACAGGCATAGATTTGATAGACACCCCTCGTTCCTGTTCCACAAACAGTGTATCTGTGTATCTCATGGGTATTGTTGTGTCTGTATTTATGGTACTAGGGTGAGTCTGCCTGATTAAGCAGTCTACGAATGATGTTTTACCTGTAAATAAAGAAGTTGTAAATGAAGACTAGGTTTTTTTATTTAAATTCCTAACTATCCTAGACTATTCTACCATGTTAGACAGCTGACAATACATACATAATTTTTCACACATTTGGAAAGTAACTGTCACAGGTTCCTTTTAAAATATTACATAAAGATCAAAATATTTATTTTAATTTATTTATTTCTTGAGTGGAGACCTCAAGCAGTAGGACAACCTCAGCAAGAGTAGTGTAGGACGCCCAGAGGCCAGGTGGAGTGACTATTTGCGCAAGATTGTGTGTAAGAGCTGGATGCGAAAAGCCCAAAATCAACCTATGTCTAGCAGTGGACTGGGATAGGCTGATGATGATGATTTCTTTTTGCTATTATCAACTATCTCCTTTAGCCCACTTAAATACAATTTTAGTGATGGTAATTATAAAACAAGGTATCTACAATACAACAACCATAAAAAGGCAGAAATTAGAGGATATAAGTTGTAAAAAAATTTAATAGGCAAAATTTCAGCAATTTGTAAAATATACTACTTAACTAATAATAATATACTACTTAACTAATAACCAATACTTAATGTCTACTAATATAATAAATGTGAAAGTGCGTCTGTCTATTACCTATTATGATAAAATTGGGAAGGTACATAGGTTAGTTTTTATCCCGAAAATAATCCATTAGGGGGGGAAAGGAAGGTGAAATCAATATGTATCAATATTTGTATGGGGAATCAATAATGGCTGAATTGATTTAGATGAAATTTGGTATGGAGATACTTTAATTCTTGAGGAAAGACATGGGCTACCTTTTTTTTATCCAAAATTACAAGTATTTCAAAGTAAGATCCAACAACAACAACTGAAAGTATCTAGGTCGACTTAACCAGTGATCCTATATAAGTATAAAGTAATACTAGTCACAAAAACTATTAAAAACAACCCTTACCATTATGCAAATGCCCCATAAGGGTTACATTTCTCATCAGATTAGTATTGTCCAGCATATCGGCTAAGTACTCCATGTCATACTTGGTCTCCAGAAGATTTTGTTCCTGAACTTGAAATTTCTTATGTTTGATAGGCTCTACCAGCGGCTTGTCCAGAGCCTGCGTGTCTTCTTCTTGGACTACTGTCTCCACATCTGGTCCATAAACTTCTACTGCTTGTGGATAATATCTGGAAGAGATTTGTTTTTTTTTTTAAATCGTATACATAGAATCATGCCTACATCCGGAAGGAGCAGAGAGTGGCAAAGGAGCAGAGCCATAGATTTGACACCAACTTTTTCCAGGCTACAATTTTTGTCCCAAAAAACGATATCCAATCAAATATGTTGTGGGATATAAACCAATTAGAGATGGTACAATAATACTTAAAATTGTACACTATCTTTAGATATGTGCTAGACAAAGACCGGGGCAGAGTAATCATCCATTCCCAGGTGCAACCCTGGTAATGACCACAGCCCTCAGACATGAGGCACCTACCAGACCGAGAGAGATATACATAATCAGAGACAAACCTATGACTGACTATTATTTCAAATTAGTTATTAAATATATTCTTATATACAGCCACAATTGTATCCCCGAAGAGATACGCAGAGGATTTAGGATTTGTTATCTATTGTTTCGGATTATAGGAGGACAGCCAGAAATATAATAATAAAAGGAAACTGTGTTTCTATGTATAATATGTATGTATTTACAAAAAAAAAGTATATATGTATTTATATCAGTTGTCTAGTCCCCATAGTACAAGCTCTGCTTAGTTTGGGACTAGATGGCGTTGTGTGAATTTGGTAGAATATTATTTATTTATTTATTTAAACATACCGTTTATCTTCGTGTAACACTACGGACATCGGAGCAGTCTCCGGTTCCGCATCGGCGTCCTCATCCTCTTCCATAGCATCTTCGTCGGCATCCCTGTTATCCTGTCCATAAACACTCTGTTCGTCGTCAGAGTCTGATTCTAAGTCTGGGCCGATATAGTTACCGAATTCATCGTATAAATCACCGTCCATTTTTAAAGTTGTATTTATAAAACTGTATAAATATTCAAGATAATAACTAGAAGAATGTTCAAAACAAATGCCGCGGTTAGTCTGTCAGACTGTCAGCACATTTGACACATAACCTAGCAACTAGCAATCCTAGCATTTCAATTGCAGATTAAGAGTATATAGATGTAGCAGGTTTATTAAAAAGAAAGTACGTAAGTATTAAAGCTAAACTGTATTTTTATCATTTGCAAAGCAGAATATTTACGAATATTTCATGAAATTCACAGAAAAAGAGGAAATACACAGAAGCAATATCTACAAGTATTATATAGGTCTGAAATCCTTTTTTTAATTTAAAACTTAAAACCTTTTTTATGTATAATTTCTCTGTTCACCTGTGTATACTGTAATAAACGAATAAATTATGTACTTTCTTTATGTCTACTTTATCTAGGTATTTCTGCTAAAAGAGATAGATAAAGTAGATTCCTAATAAAAAGTTTTGTTTGCTTTCTGAAGGCCAATTCTCGAAATAAAAGTGCAGTCACAATTCAGTTCCGATCAACTTTCGATCACACAACTGTCATAAAAGGTATTTCCGTAATAAAATAGTAAAGTATCACTAAGACTAGCAGATTACCGATTCAATTTTCAGTTACTTTACGACATGATCACATTACAGTCAACGTTGGATGTTTAATACTTTACTACGAAAATACCTTTTATGTCAGTTGTCAGATCGGAACTTGATCGGAACGGAATTAAGACCGAACTTTCACTACGAGAATTGGTCTTCAGAGTTCAAGTAAAGCGATTCTACTTTTATATATTTTGAACGCGTCATAAGTGAGGGACCAATATTATTATTTTCTTGATGTTGTCATTCTGCTTAGCGTTTGACAAATTCTTTTCAATACAAAAATGGCTGCTGTACAACAGAATTTATCAAAAATGATTTCGGCACAGCTACGAAATAAAGCAAATGAGTTTTTAAATTCACGGAAGCATGCAAATAATCTTGCCGATATACTGCAAATGTTTGAGGTAAGTCAATTCTATTATATGACTTAAATATCAGCTTTTATAAACTGCGTCATAGGTTACGTTTTTTAATAATGGTTATTTATTAAATTTTAGGCGGAGACGGACAATTATACACCCTTACTGCTTACTGTGGAAGTGATATTTACTGAACTACTACGAAGAGGTGACCTGGTAGAGGAAATCATACCCCTGAAACCAGCGGGTAAGTGTTTAAGCGGTGTACCATAGTATAGATTATATTGTCATAATAATATTGATTTTGCTGGTAAATAGAGTAGTCACTTCATTTTATATTGCAAGGATCGTGTTTGTGGTACAGTGAGTCGCCTGTTTATATTTAAAATAGTTCTATATTTCTGTTAATTGAAATCACATTTTACGACATGTGACGTTATTAGCTTATATAAAAGCTGATTGACTCCATATCATAATTGCCCTTGTCACAAAGCACCATTATACGCAATACATTCCTGTAAATATAAACTTTATATTATAATGTCAGTATTGTTAACTAGTCACTGGCAGAAAACTGGTGCCTTTGCCACCATTGTTCAAAAGTGTTTGTATGTCTATTGGTTAGAGTTTCAAGGTCAGGCTTAGGTTTGGTGTGACTACTTGTATCTGTATGTTGAATTAGGTGTACAGCTTTTTGTTTTGTTTTTTATGAGTTGAGCTTATTCTACAAGAATTTATAAAAAACAGTAACCATCATATTGATTAATACTACACAAAGTATATTTTTTGAAATGTTGAAACTGAAGTTTAAATATTACCAAAGAAAGATAACAAACAATTCTTTATTCTCAAAAAATATAAAAGAAATCAAAGCATATTTACAAACAGTGAGATCAGTTTATCTAAACAGACTATTTGTTTTTTTGAGTCTGTTAATGGCTTTATTGCGTTTCAGCATTGTTAAGATATTCTTTGTTCTTCAGTTCAATCTTGATATGAAGAACTAAATATGTAAGCAGACTTAATGACATAGGTTCTTTCTACTGCACAAATTTTGACTAAATACAAACACTCATTTAAAAAAAATAACACCTGCATGCCCGCCACACGAGACTTTACACATACTTGAAACAGACACAGAGAACACCCTGACACAAATATTTAGTGATCACAAAAAGTGTTGATCTATGTTTAGATATAATCCACATCACAGTGCAGTAGGAAATGGCGAGGTAACTGCTTAAACTACAATGCTTTCCATGCAGTTAATATTATAATTTAATACCAAAGATTTTAGTAGAATTTTAAGAAACATCTGTGATTACAAAAAGCCAAGCTATCAAATAATATAAAAATGTGCATAAAAATATAAGCAGTGAATATTCAAATTAAATTAGTCTTTATTGTTTATCTGTTGCTCAGTTGAAACAATTTAAAGTGTACATTTTTAAATGAGTTTACGGCCTCGGTTTATGGTTTAAATGAGTGTACGGTTATGGTTTTCAAATAAGTTCACAGTGTGCATTTTTTTATTGTGATTCACATGCTAAAAGGCATGATACATTACTTGTACTTCATAAAAGCAAATTGGCTATATTTGAGAAGGTATGCCAGTGCTATCTACATATCGCTATCACTTTTTGCCCCGCACAACCAATCCGATACGGCCTTTAAACCTTCAAGAAAGGAGCGTACTCCTTCCTAAAAGGCAAGGCGTTTGTGACTTCTGAGTTGCAGACGTTCATGAGCGGCGATAGTCACTTTCCATCAGACCCGTCTGGTAGTCTGCCCCCTCTAACATAAAAAAAAAGAAATTACATTGAGATACTTCTTGGTATGCATTTTTTTTAATTTGCTAACAGAGAAATGTAAAATGTGAAATACTCAACTTTACAGATTGAAGTGTTAAAAACTTAGATTTTTGTACAATATCAACCAAATTTAATAATAATGTGAAAATGACTACACCATTATTTATTATTCATTATTATTACAATATATGTCATGGTAGATAAGTCTATACACTGAAAGGTCAGGTTATACTGGCTAATGAAATTAACCAGAAAAATTATGGTTGACATTCTGTCATCAGACTATGTTTAGTGAACATTAAAAGGCATCACTCGTACACAATTTATGTACAAATAAAATAAGAAAATGACAGACTGATCAATTGATGTACAGCTGATCTGATGGATCTAGATGCATGAAATTTAGCACACATGTTCCTCAAGTGTACATGTGTAAGTGTGCATTAGGAAAGGATTGTAAAAATTTCACCCTAAGGGTGCAAACTGGGTGTTAGTAATTTATATGAAACTTTGTGGTTTTTTTTAAATAATATTTTCACATATTTTAACATGGTCGTCCGATCTCATACTAGGCAGAATCTGTATTATGGTAACCAGACTGCTAATAAATATACTTATATATTTCTAAATACATACATATTATAGATAAAGTAGGTACACCCAGACACAGCACAAATGACCGTGCTCATCACACAAACATTTGTCCTGGGGGGAATCGAATTCGTCGGGTTTACCTTCTGGCGTAGCAATCAGGGTCACTAACCACTAGACCTACAGGCCAGTCAATTTTTGGTAGTATCGTATCCTCTACGATATCTAATGTCGACCACCACTGTCTGATTTTGCTGGCAAAAGCTGGTTATTACCATACAAATATGTCATGGTATATGAAATATCATGGCTATTGAAATTAACCAAAAAAAAATTATTTGATATTCTACCATCAGACTATGTCTAGTGAACATTAAAAGGCATTAATGTACCTATTAGATAAATTAAGACATATAAAAGATACTTCTTTTTATGCATTTTGTATTTAATTATTTCGGACTGTTATACTTCAAAACTTCAAGGAAAGAATACTCCCACCTCAAAGGCCACCCATGCACTTGTGACTCTTAAGCAACTGGTATCCACGGAGATCATCAGTCCCTTACCATCATGTGATCCATCTGCTCAAGCACCTTCAACTCTAGTCTCGAGTTGAAGGTGCCAGCCTTGGAGATGGGAGTACGCTCCTATCTTGAAGGTTAGGAGGTTGCTTGTAGAAAAGGGCCAGATTACTAAAATGTTTAATAAAAGTAAATGTTATAACCATATTATACCATAGTGTAAAAGCTCTATATTATGGTAGGTCATCAATGATGTAATAAATCCTCCTTCTGTAACTTGAACTGACTTTAAACAATACTTACAATACAAAGCACTAAAAACCTATCAGCAATGGCGGTTGATTTGCTGTCATTTTTTTAACAGTTCCGTTGTCACTTTCCGAAACTCATCGTCAGATCTACATGGAATTTAAATGGGACCATTTCGGAATAAAACCCTTTCGAACAAAACATCAAAAAAAGAATTTTACAAAACCGTCTATATGACGTAGTTATACCCTAACATACATAAAAAAAAATAAACATCCGAATTGACAACCTCCTCCTTTTTGAAGTCAGTTAAAAAAAGCCTTTAAATTACATGAATTATGGTCGAAATTTTACCACCAAGTGATTCCAGTAAAAATAACTGTATGATGTCACCACACTACAAAAAGCAGGCACGTCAGCTTCATTCATGTGAAGTCAAATTCTGAAGGACAAGTTCACATCACAAATTTAAGTGCAACTGCATAAGATGCATAATAATGAACCCATTGTGTGATGCATACATGATTATGAAAAACATAGTGTTTTTGTTTCATGTGTGTGTGTTTCATGATTAGGGCTTTAGGTACTTATTGCTACTCAAACAGCTTATTAAGTGCCATCTTTCCCATAATAGGGGCAAGTGGTTGAGGTGGCGAAATAGTGTACTCTAGGCATGGAACAAAATCACGTTGTACTGTGAAAGACCACGCCTTGTTGCTAATGAGCTGTTTTCAGACGATGCATAAAATCTAGTAATTATTTTATTAAATATAGCTACCATTCAGTACCTTATAATAGAAAAAATATTAGATTTAGTGTTAAATAGCGTCTAAGCTACCTACCTAGCAACCCTAACCTACGTACGCGAAAATCGAATGGTAAATCACAGTTCTCTCGTTTGAAAGCTTACTACGTTGGCCAGACGGGTTGGTTTATTTCAAGTTTTACTTCTCTTTGCAGTGCTTTTATCCTGCGTAGTTTTTCCCTTTAGTCGACTCTTACGACACCCACGGGATGAATAGGAGTGGTGACATACCGTATTCTTATTCCGTCACCACACGGGCATAAGCATGTGGGCTTTTATATAGATATAATAATAACTTCACACATCTCACGCGTGACCTTTGATGCCAAACTAGGCAGAGTCTGTAGTATGGTAACCAGACTTCTGGTAAACATACTTAAATGTTCCTAAATATGTAAAAACTAGCTGACCCGCGCAACTTCGTCTGCGTCTCTCAATAGTAATAAATTTTCTCCCTTTTTGAAACATTCTTCATTGGTGCTCCGCTCCTACTGGTCTTAGCCTGATGATATATAGCCTATAGCCTACCTCGATAAATGGGCTATCTAACAGTGAAAGAATTTTTCAAATCGGACCAGTAGTTCCTGAGATTAGCGCGTTCAAACAAACAAACAAACAAACTCTTCAGCTTTATAATATTAGTATAGATTATAGATAAATCACACCCAGACATTGAATCATTTGTTCAATGTCTGGGTCAGTCAATCGGACTCATTACACAATAATTTGTCCTGGGTGGGAATTCAAAATATATATAGAAACTAATAAAACATAATTAAACTAACAACAGCCATTTTGTATATTCTATTTTAAGTCAAAAATAACAGGGATCTGAGTTACACCAGGCCAAAAAATAAAATTTACGTGATCGTAGCATAGTGAGCACATCAGATGAAGTTTTAATATAATATAACACTGGTATACAGCTGGTATATATATTCAACTGGTATACAGAACGCAGTCCCGAAGCTGAATATAAACGATGGCTACGCGAGTGCTACGAAGCGGCGCACACCCGCGCTATCGAGTGCATCAAACGCGGCCGCACCAATTCCAGACTCCAGGCCTTGGTGACGGCTTGTAAATTGATGCAAGCTGAGGGGAAGCATCCTCTGGAGCAGTCTACTGGTTACTACTTCCCGTCTGTGAGGCTCAAGGTAAAGAATTTTAAGACGCTTGTATTTAACATGTTCGTAAAAATTATGCTGGTTAAGCCGCTAATTTACAAAAGTTATATGCACTATAATTAAGTGTTTCAAATGTTATAGAGCTTCAGATCTCATACAGATCTCATAACTGTCATAAGATATTTTCGTAGTTAAGTATTACACATTCAAAGTTAACTGTAATATCATTATATCGTATTGTAACCGAAAATTAAATCGAAAATCTGCTAGTCTTAGTAATCCGTTAGTACATATTTTACTAGGAAAATACATTTTACGACAGTTGCGAGATCGAGAGTTGATTGAAACTGGATTTTGACCGAACTTTTATTTAAAAAAATTGGCCTTCAGGTATTCTCAGTACTCCAGTTATTGCTTACATAAACCAGTCTATTCGTAGACATAAGCTATAACTCTTTTCTACGATTGTCTTCCATTCTCCCAATAATATACTCTTAACTTTCTTATTACAACCAAACTGCCCGGTTGACAGCAGCTTTTCCTAAATTCAAACCATCAAGAAAAGAACGTCCTAAAAGGCCGGCAATGCGTTTGTGGCTCCTGAGTTGCAGGCTTTCTTGGGCGGCGATGGTCACTTTAAATCATAAAAAGTATTACGTAACTGGCATTAAAGTTATAGTTGGCAAAATGTGATAATTTAATACGCATACGCTTTCGCAACCGCAACCGCAAAGGGGTAGGAAGAAGCAAATGGAGTGAGTGTAAAAGGGAGGGGTTTACATACAGCCACTAGCCGAACTTCCACATTAACTAGTACATTAAAACCTGCACAAGTCCTATATATTCCTATCACACGTCACAAAATACGTTTTGCGTCAATAAACAAAATTATAGTACACATTACTAGTAATCTAAACGAGAATAAAACGTGTTTAAGTAACACAATACATTATTCCGTATGTTATATTATCATTACATTGTTTCCTAGCAATACCTGTTCCAACAATGTAACATTCATGTATGACTTGCTATAATACCCTTTACAAAATGGCCGACTCATATATTATGTTAGGTAAAGACATATGACGGTACGGCGTAGCTTCATAATTATATCATATAGGTATAATTATATCATAGATAAGAATTGATTTCTTGCTTGGCGGAAGACTGCTCGTTGCTTCGTTAGGAGTTTAAAAAATATGTATCAAATGGCAAATTACTGTTACTGTCACCAACCAACTCGAGCCAGGTGTAACTTATATACATTTCTAGAAAAAGTCTAGAACTCCAGAATGTTCGTTTTTTTTTTTATTAAAGTTTATAGGGAAGTTTCAATCAAGTCATTTCTATATTTTTCTGGAAAGCTCACGAACCTTCTGGCCCTTTCTATGAGACAGGCCTGCAAAGGAACAGGTGTACATTTAGTGTAGCTTTGCGCTGTAAAATAGATATACACGGTGATTTTGAAAGCGTTTTGGAAAAGAAAATTTTGAGTTATTTATCAGTAACAGAAGCTATATATAACGTTAATTTAATAAAATATATTTTTTTTTATCATCAAAGTCGATATTCATATCGTTTACAGAGAAAAAGTCAGAACCAGTAGTAGTAGGCTATTCAATCACACGTAGGTAAATACTACGAATAGAAATACTATGCGTGTCACATCAAATCGTATTCGCCAATAAAAACAAAGCTACCGAGTTGCGCCGGAGTCGTCCAACCAATGACGTCTGCCCCGTAGGCGCATGCGCGGGGCTCACCTGTCATCGTCAGTCGGTCAGTAATACCATAACATCGTGACGGCACGCTGCATTGATTAGCGCTAAAATGAGTCGACAGTACGAATTTTCAAACGTGGAATACTTCTTGGCAATGGTACAGCTGTACGCTACTGCCAACTACAACTTGGAAGAGGCTCGGCGTTTGTATTCCCAAGCCGGAGCATTTAAATGCACTACGGCTACGTGGAATTGAAAGCCCTCAAATTCCCTCCACACCTACTATCTTGGCTGCAACCCAACGTCTTCTCTACCACGGACAATTTCGTGCGCCTACTCATACGCAAGGTCAAGGACGTTTTAATTATTATTCGCCGGAGTGTAGTGCGTGCATACCTGGACAATGAGCTTAGTGATCGGACTTAACGCCCCTGGATTTTTTCTTATGGTCGGAAATAAAAAGACTTGTTAATACACGGGAATATGAAAGCCGTGATAATTTACGCATTGCGATAGTGGACGCTTTAAAGTGAAAAGTGATAGAGACACATTAAGAAAATTAAAAAACAATTGCATTAATCGTGGACGTTTGTGTATTGAATGCAGCGGACTCCATTTTGAGCAGTTCCTTCGATACAGAGAACTGTAAATAGTGTAAATAGGTATGTAAGTTAATTATTCTGTAGATAGCTCCGATTTTTTAAATACGCCTGAAATATTTATACCTACAGTCCGTTGATAAATTGATTTGTTGTGAAAAGAACAATCGTGGTTAATAATCGAAAAGAAGTTTAAATAAAATAGGTATTTCTGACGGTCCTAAGCCCGTGTAAAGTATGAAGGACAAATTGGAGTCTATCTACGTAAGTACTCGCTAGCTCGCGCCTATAGGTATAGTTTTGTCAGCTGCTGTTAGCGTCGGCGGTGCGCAGCGGCCGCCGAAACGCCCACGGACGTGTTTCATTCATATAAGATAATGAATGAACGATCAGTCCATTACTACTTTCCAAGTCGATCGAGTAAAAATGAATATTAAAACTGAAACTTTTTTTTAGACAACATTACAATTGATTTAATCATTTTTATTGGTACTATAGATGATTCCAAATTCAAATATTTCGTTTCCAAAACGCTTTCAAAATCACCGTGTATAAGATTATTAATTGCGAATTATTTTGTTCATTGTAATTAATTATATTATTTGTTTCTTTTCCATGCCAAAATCAGTATATCCATTATAATGATTAATTACGGATTATTATCTATTACCAACTAATGTGGACCAAGTAAACTGACTTGTGGACACTTTTCAGACATCAAAATAGGTTTTCTAAGAATATATTTTTATAAAAACTATTCTCATTGTTGCAGAATATATTCACCACTTTGCTGGATTCTGAGACATCTATGTCGGCGCCACTAGCTCGCTTCCAGGAGTTCACCGAATATCGTGATGTCCAGCAGTATGGCCTTAAAGTGCTCTCTACAATCGCTTATCGCAAGTAAGCTATTTGAAGTCTTATGGTACAGTTTCACCTACACCATGGACATCGTTTCAATCGTAATAAATTGTACATAGGCTTTATAACACAACCTTTCTCAATCAGACATCCAAACTCTTAGTTCCAGATCAGCACATCCCCCCCAACAAAGAAGCAAGTCCTCAGTTTTGTGCTTCTGCACGTATGGTTTATTTTTGCCTGGCAAGACTCGGAATAAACTATAACTTTATTACCTACTTAAAATTGTAGGAACATTACTTATTTACAATACTACGAGTGATCTGGTATCACATACATACTTATAGTAGCACAATCTGTGTCACCAAGAATCAAGGCATGAATATTACAAAATATTAATAATACCAAATATTTATTGGATTCAATTTATTATTAAAAGCTCAAAAATTATCAAAATAGTCCCAGCTCAAGAGAGAGTCATGAACCCCATAGCGAGACCACCCCTGTGTTGTTCGAAATTCAGACTTTGCTATATCACTGCCTGTGTTCTTTTTTCAAAATTCATCATATCAAATTATTATTCGGTTAGTATTAATTATTCACCTTTCCCACAGATCACCAACGAGCATCTACATGCAGAACTACTTGGAATTGCTGGACAAGCTGTTGATTTGTGAAATCACCATGGATAACAAGGGCAAGCTGAAAGAGAGAGATTTTGAACAAAAGGAGGAGAAGTTATTGTGCAGTACAGAAGGTATACACTCCTGACCAGATATTTCATGTGCAGTGTGAAAAATGAAACGTGAATATTATTTATTTAGTTGACCAATTAATATGTAGACGAAATTTTGATTTAAAATAGATCTAATACTATAATTATTAGACTAAGTTACATTAGTGTAAACTAAAAGTAATGATATTTTATTTTTACAGTTTTTATTATTTTTTTTACAAGGTAGGAAGGTATCAAAATTTAGTCTAAAAACTTTAATCGCTGCCTGTCGTAACTAGGGTTAACCTATGTTTTATACGATCGCTTGACTAAGAATATTTAAACCAATTAATATTTAGATAAAAATGTATAATAAAAATAATAGAAAATATTAAAATACTGTGAAATAAATGTAATGTACACTTGCAAAACCTTCAAGAAAATAACGTACTCCTTCCTGAAAGGCCGGCAACGCGTTTGTGACTCCAGAGTCCAGACGTTTATGGGCAGCGGTAGTCACTTTCCATCAGGTGTCCCGTCTGCTCCCCTGCCTCCTCTAACATAAACAAAACCAGTTCCTACAAAAATGATAATGATGAACGTTCGTTTGTCAGACAAGGCCCCTTTCCCGTACAACCCGGGTGTATGCCGGCGCTACGCCAACCGCTGCTGGGGCTTCGCGTGCCAGTGGCCGCTCTGCGACGAGCCGCGCTCGCACCGCCGCGCGCTGGCGCTGCTCGTGGAGCGCCTCATGCCGCTGCTCACCAAGCCGCACCTCGCCACCGACATGCTGTGCGACAGTCTCGACGCCGGTGAGTTCACCGCCTGGAAACTACTTCCTTATTTTAATCATTTGACTGCCTCGTCCTCATCTGGAACTGATCCTCGGGTTCCTTAGCGCTGCCTTAGTGGTGGGTTTGATTCTCGGACTGAGCAAAATTTTATATGGTTTTTCTGAGAGGAAAAATAAGTTACTCCTTACACAGACAGCTACCTGGTAGTAAAATATTATCAAAATCGGTTCAGGTGTTTCGAAGATTACCCGGAACAAACAGACACACAGACAAACAAACAAAAAATATTTAAATTGGTTTTTAGGCAAAGGTATCGTTCAAATAACCGTATGAGCATGAAATAAACCTATTATTTTTACATTACAAACAGGCACTCCAATTTTATTTATTTGTATAGATATGTATGGTCCCAGTCCGGGAATCGAACCCACTTTAGCAACGCTTTTCAAATTCCACGCGCAAAAAGTCGTGGGTATCAGCTAGTTAATTAATACTTTTGAAATACCTAATATATGTATGTGTTAAAGTTGTCTGTAAGAAATCGCCGTGAGCGATAAGACCGCCGATTGTTACCTCTACATATTTGTAACTCAAAGATATAAATAAACTAGCTTTTGCCTCTGCTCTCGTGTATATCGGTTATCGCGGTAAAAAGTAGTCTATAGCACTCAGGGATAATATACCTTCCAATAGTGAAAGAATTATCAAAATCGGATCAACAGTACCGGAGATTATCCGGAACATACAAACTCACAAATTACTCACCTCCATCATATTACCATAGACTAGCTGAGACCCGCGGTGTTACCCGCGTTTGTTGTTATAACCGCGGGCAACGCCGCGGGGCGAAGCTAGTCTAAAAAAAGTAGCCTAAGTTACTCCTTATGTCATCATCTATCTGCCAGTGAAAATCCCGTCGAAATCGGTCCAGCCGTTCCAGAGATTACCCGGAACAAACAGACAGACAGACAAAAATTGAAAAAAAAAATATTTTGGCAAAGTTATCGTGTAAACACACATATGCATTTAGTAAAAAGCGGTTATTTTAATATTACAAACAGACACTCCAATTTTATTTATTTGTAATATAATAATAACTTGACACATCTCACACACGGTCTTCTGATCCCAAACCTTCTCTTCTTCTTTCTTCTTTTTTCCTTCTCTCTGCAGTGCTGTGGTCCTTCAGTCCTTCATAGTTTGCTCCCTTAGTCTGCTCTTACGACACCCGTGAAATGAATGGTGACACTCCATATTCTTAATCTGTCACCACACGGATAAGTAAATACAAACATATTATTATCAAGGATAAATTACACCCAGACACAAAACAAATGACAGTGCTGATAACACAATATTTGACCTGGGTGGGAATCGAATCCACGACCTATGGATTATCAGACGGTATTGCTTATCATTAGACCAACATGGCCGCCTTCGCCCCAAATCTTGTACATATATTTTATTTTCAGGTGGCCCCATAAGCATGTTAGCGCTACAGGGTGTGCTAGAGCTGGTGCGAACGCACAACATCGACTATCCAGACATGTACGACCGACTGTACGCCATGTTTGAACCAGAGATGTTCGCCACGAGGTACAAGAAACGGCTCATGCACCTCGCCGATATATTCCTTAGTTCCACGTGAGTATACAAAACAAGATTTGCACTGTTCCTGCTGATGTTCCTTATGATATTAGTTTTTAAGCGACTTCAAAAAGGAGGTCGGATGTTTATACTTTTTTGACGGACGACCGCTTACCCCCGATGGACGGACGACCTGGTAAAGGTTGCCGGAAACCGTTGGATGCAGGCCGCAATCAACCGTCCCCGCTGGAAATCATTGGGAGAGGCCTATGTCCAGCAGTGGACAGGCATAGGCTGAGGTGATAATGATGATACTTTTTGTTATGTATGTTCGGGCATAACTCTGTCATATATGAACGGATCTTCAAAATTCTTTATTGTTTGAAAGGGTTCCATTTAAATTTCATATAGATCTGATGATGAGATTCGGCGACAGACCACGGCACTTCAAAAAATGACAGCAAGTCAATCGCGATTTCTGCTAAGTTTTTAGTGCTTATTGTTAGAAGACCGTTTTTTTTAACAATAAGCAAAAGAATGTATTTTATGGGAAAAAACCATTGAACTCTCCAGACTGTTACCGTTACCGACACCTCTGTTGTAGTGAAAACTTTTTTAGGTGCGTTGGGCAATTTTTGACATGAGGAAAAAGCAATAGAACTCTCGACATTGTTACTGTTACAGTCACCTCTGTATATAAGTTTTCACTTTTGTCAGTACTCCCATTACCAACTACATTTACTGATTTTCGTAAAATGACTGTGAGAATTGGTTGGGAACAGATTTACCAAAATTAACTGAGGGGTATACCGACAGTCAAATATGTACATGACTTCCTGCTACCTTCCTGCTTAAAGTGGTCCTTCCAACTCGTTAAACCGAAATCCACTGTAGTTTAATTTAAAAAAATAATTTGCTAGATTAAGTTCTTTTCTAAGGCTTTAACAAGATTACTCATTTATATTTTTAGTTTGTCGACCAGAGCAATAACTCCACTAATGTTTGTTATGTCAATTGTAGAGTCATAAATATTTTTTGTTTTCAGTCACCTCCCGGAGGCTTTGGTTGCTGCATTTGCTAAACGTCTGTCCCGTCTTGCGCTCGTAGCTTCCGCTGAAGACGCTGTTGGCTTGTTGCAGCTCGTAGCAAACCTGCTGCTACGCCACCCCGCTCTGAAGCGCATGATATGCTACGAAGACTCGCCCAACATAAGTAAGTTTATTTAAAAAGAAATCACATATCTTGACCATTTGCACATAAACCCGACTGGGGTCTTTTCTGGTCGGTCGCGTTGCGAACCTGCATAGCTTTAGTTAGAAGCCCATCTGGTGATGGCAGACTGGTTTATGTTGAGCCTTGCATTAGTGATATAAATGTATTTTTTTACCCTTAAGACCTTTCACTAGGTAATTTTATCTCTGTTATTCTGGGTTAAATTCTTTTTTTAAATTTGATTATTGATTATTAATTCTACTTTTGAAATTGTACCAGTACAAGGCCTATTCGATAAAAAATATTTGCGTTTTCTCATGTCAAATTGCAAATTACAAAACCATTAGTATGCCAGGACTGACTTTGATGAATATTATTTTGTTTTGCCAGTGTCAACGGACCCGTATGTAATGGAGGAGACATGCGCAAGCGCATCGCGGGCTCTGGGCTCTTCGCTGTGGGAGGTGTGCGCTTTGCGGCGGCACAATGTCCCCGCGCTCAGCGCCGCGGCCGCTCGCCTGCTCGACACCGGAGCCGCTCGTGCTGCGCCCAAACCGCTCGCGCCGCAGGACCTGGCCAGTGTGAGTATATATAGTGTGTAGTGAGCAGTAGCGACACAATGTACCAACTGTGGTGTCATCATCATCATCAACAGCCATTACTAGTCCACTGCTGGACATAGGCCTCTCCTTAGAAAGGAGGGTTTGGCCTACTATACCACGCTGGCCAGATGGGTTGGTATAGAGTTTTCCTTCTCTTTGCAGTGCTGTTGTCCTGCGTAGTTTGTTCCCTTAGTTGCCTCTTACGACACCCACGGGATGAATAGGGGTGATGACATTCCGTATTCTTAATCCGTCACCACACGGACAAACTGTGGTGTGGTGCTTTTGTACCTCCACATTGTTATTTTTTTATAACCGTAGTTATTGATCTTAGTTAGACTTGAAATTCAAACATGGATGGATGCACTAGGTATTGTTCTAAAACCTATCTACTACTACCTACCTACTGTATCTTTCTAAACTTAAATTACTAAATAAGATTTAAATTATTTCAGTCATTCGATGCAGAACTAAAGAGAAGGTTCAAAACGATAGAAATGAACTTCGTCCGACCACAGGGCATGACATCATCAGGTGATCGCGTCATGCAGTACTGGGAACTGATGGCCTAAATATGACGCACGAACGCGCCAGTAAGATGCAGTATCATACACTAATCAGTGATTATATACATACTTGGGCATTTATCCACTTAATAGGCGAGAGGAAAGCTGAATCCAACCTACGTGATAATTATAGCAAGAACTCTGACCTCTTGCGAGAGAATCAGAGACTGACAGGTATTAAAGTGATAGGGAAGCAGTGGAAGGAAGGCAAAGTCAGATTCTTTCTATAGTTCTTATGTAGGTCTGGATTTGGTCAATATCGAAGCAGCAAAACAAACGGTTGGACCAATATAATTTAATCTACACTGCACAGGTTACTTTTTATTTACAGTTTGTTTTTGTTTAATATTCAGCACTTTAAAAGGTTTTTAGTCGACTAGCTAGTGTTTAGCTTTGTTATCCGTATTTTTTAAGTATAATATGACAGCATAATTAGTTTACCACTCATATTGAGCTTTCGGTTCGATATAGCGAAGTTAACCATGATTTTAATGTTTTCTCTTAAAGATATAATACCGTATTAGGAATTGTAGTAAAAATTAAATAGAAATATGAATTTAAGTCTTTGACATATACTTATATAATATTTCAATTTATAAATAAGTAATTGTGTGTCCAGGAAAGTATAGGCAACATATTAAAACTGTGCAGTCCTCAACATTGTATGATCGAAACAAATTGATCATTAAATACGATATAGTATCACTCAAACAAAATATACGACAGGACCTCTTGTAAGTCTAGTACCTTGGGAAAAAACTTTGTTATAAAGCATTAAGTGGACAATTTTTATTTATTTATTGGTAAAAAGTTTATACCGTTTTTATAGCAAGCCTCCGATTCAGGAAGGTTTTAGTGCTGTGTAATAAATCGTACATTAGTTGTATAATTTAACAAATTAGATTTCGATTTCCTTATGTTGTTTTTGTTCAGAGATGCTGTGCAACTAAAGTTTTTTGAAAAATTTTTATATTATATTATTCGGCCTAGCGCAGTAAAGCGATTAAGTTTAGCTTGCCCTTAAATGTTAATTGTTGATAATTATGACTAATTGTAGATTTTTTCGCTCTTTTTGCAGTTTATTAACATAATAGCTACACATTTCAGTGAACAAAAATTACTCGATTTCCTGATTATTATGAAATACACATGATAATAAGCATAAAGTCGGTAGTTTAAGGTTTTTAATAAATTTTGCACTTAAATGTTAAAGTTATAGGCGAGGTTAATGTTGCACTTTCGTTAATTATTTTTTTTTACGAACGAATTGTGTCTGTGACATCGTTGGACCCGGAGTCGAAAACGTTCTCAAGTTAAATAGTAATTTACTTTTTAAATTTGGAGTTTTATTTGTGACTTGCATTATGAAGTCTTGTCGAATGTTTGAAAGAAAACTGTTTTTACAACGTTACAATTAACATGTTGGACTCGGGCACTGAGGGTTAAATATATATCTGTCTGCTGGGTTTTTTTATAAATACCTATTGTTAGTCGAGATTGTAAAATATCATGTCTATATCAAAAAATATTATAAAAGTAACGGATACTTTGGCTCGAATTTTAATTCCAAATACTGAAAAAAAACTACGATTTATCATATTCTGTTTATCGACTTCTGGGTGTGTCTTTTTCGGAACAAGTTTATTGATGATGCACTTGTGTAGAATAAGCATATAGTAAAGTTAAGTTAGAATGGAACTAATACATCTCTAAAAGCAATCAATCCAATTATCAATTATATACGTCATGGAACCGAGTACCATACTTAAAAGAATTTAGCAACATACATTATAAAATTGATAACTGTACTTGGTATATTACTTGCACTAGGTAATACTTGGTTTATAGAGAAGTAAATTTGGTGTACTGTGTGATAACTGATTGCTTGTCAACTCAGCGATCGCTGGTTGTAATCCTACATATACACTTACTCAGATTTAAAACGAGCTCATCCGAGATGTATTAGTTAAATAATGCTTGTTAATATAGTGAAAATAAGTAAACAGTACACAAAATAACTGTACTACACATTTAAAAGCTTTTTTTACTATATTATCAGACGTAAGGAACGATATCTGCAATGATAGAAAATCTGTAAGATATTTGGTACAGGAGTCGTGGTCCGTCTTCCCACTAACACTAACTCACGCCTAGCACGCGCTGAGGTAATACAATCAGATTGTTAAATATGGTATGTTTTGTGTTAGCCCATGCTAAGCCTGTAGTTAGGTTCATTCCAATGACTAATGTTAGTTATTGAAATAGGATTTTGTTAATATTTGTGTTTAATCTAGGTAGACTTGAAGCTTTTTATCCAGTATAGTTGGAGAAAATTTAACTTTTTATTGTATTGTGCATACTCATACGAATTGTTTTTTTTTTTTTTGCAATGTTTGTATGGATTTATTGTGGTGTTTTTCATGTGAATGTTTCTTTCTGAAAACAAGGTGGTCTAGAAACAATGTCAAAAGCTGTAACGAATATAGTTAGCAATGTAATGTTTCAGAATATAAGTAATTTTTAACTGCAACAATATAAATAGAGTAATAAATTACAACTTTTCTTAAATTTCCTTTTGTACTATACTGGGTGTGGCGCTCACCTTATATTGTCATGTACGATCAATAGAATCACGTATTAAGACAAACATAGCCATATTTATTTAACTTTATCGTTATATTTAATTGTTTGATGGGAGCCTCGCAGTAAGGGCGCGGCTGGTAAACGCTATGTATATAATTTATTTTTCTAAGGGTGGATGATGTGAAATAGTTCCTGTCATAATCTAAGCCTAAAAATATAAAAGAGAGCAAAGATTCAAATTTGATATATCCAGTAATGTTGCCATAATTACGTTGTCGTTAAGACGTAAACCAATATCATATATCGTTAAATCATAGACAAAAGAGTAATTTATAATATATGTAAATGAATCACATTAATTAATTTATTACAACTCTGCCAATGACTGCTCTGACAGCTTTTCAATGGTGACTTAGGGTATTCTTTTATCACATATAATATCAGAAGTGTCAAAGAAGAAGCTGTTAATTAGATTGACAATCGCGTTGACGTATATTCGACAGTACAATGTATACAGGTATTGTTGCCAGTGTTTATTTTAGTGAGTTGTTAAAAGTGCAATATTGTTCAACATTGTAAAGAAAAATATTTTAGTCGGGATAATTTTTTTAAGCCCGAAATAGGTCTTAAATTAGTTCTGATATACACCATATGACATGATAAAGCAAAAATATTATTTGGACTACAGTACATTTTAGTACTTATTAAGTTTAAAGTGTAATTTAACTTCTAATTAATAATACCTACTAAACACATTTGTCAAAACAAAATGTAAATCAAAAAAGTTTATTATGCGATAGTCTGTCTCAAATTCAGTCAATGTGGTTAAAGTGCAAATAAAAAAAAAAGTTTAGACTATATCCATCGTCATGTGTGTATATCCATGTGTGATATCGCCAGAGCGACTACAAAAAGAAAAACTGATTTAATTTTTATTTTAGAAATATGATTAAATTATGCATGACTAAAAGAATGTTCTATTCTGAAGGCATATTAGTGCAGTTGTAAAACTACTTAAATGTCGATAGAATAAAACTAAGGGGAATTTCGTAGAATCTCGGTGTAGCTGCCGCGCCCGCCGCTTTATATTGTGATTGTGTTGAAACAAAACTTAAGTATAAGCTAGAGTAAGGCATTATTTTAATATCATTCATTTAATGTTCTATTATTATATTTATGATAATAAATAAAAAGTATTATAAACTTAAAAATCGTTTCATTTCGTTAAGAAAGCTAGTTATAATAAATACTGTATAGTTATATAAATAGGGTATAGTGTATAGTGATATAATAATAAATATAGGCCTTCTATCGGATCTAGCATAAGGCGCTTCTCTCGAAACTGCCTTCCTTAGGGCTTTCAGAGAAATTGTGTAATTAGGTCGCCGGTTTCCTTGCGGACAGAAGCATTAAGGTCGTTGTCAACGGTGCACTCGAAATTCGTAAATGCTGGTGTCCCACAAGGCTGTGTGCTATCACCCACACTGTTTCTTCTGCATATCAATGACATGTTGCTAACTAGTTGCATCATCAGCAATGGATGCAACTACAGCACGGGAGATACCCTTTACACCGGCCGCCCCAATATTTCTCGGGAAAACGTCATCGAGAGTCGAAACAAACTTGTCTGAAATTGAAACTTTCTTACCGGAGGTTTCAGATTAGGGCCGACTAAATCTAGTCCAGTTTAACCCAAAAAAGACAGGTCTGTGCGTTCACCGCAAAGAAGATACCATTTGTAACCTCGATTTGAGAGCACATCTCTAACTGCCTCAGCCAGCATTTATTTTAGCAGCATTAGTTTTATTTTTACTTTTCAATGTCCTTTGGTAGTGTAAAAACGAGTTTTGGATCCTTATTATTACTAAAGCAGCCTAATATGACCCTTGTGGCATATAGTCCAAATCACGGCCGCGATGTAGTTGAATACATTCATTTTTTTTTATGTCAGAGGGGACAGACGAGCAGACGGGTCACCTGATGGAAAGTGACCATCGCCGCCCATGAACGTCTGCAATTCAGGAGTCACAAACGCGTTGCCGAGTTGATCCGAGATGTTTGGGCTATCGACGATTCGACTCGCTCTTCGTTGGATGCGGTCCTTAAGGAAGAAGCTGGTACTTAGATGCCCCTGCATAGAGATGAGACCAGTATTCCATATGCGGCCGGACTTGCGCTTTATAGAGCTGAAGGCGATGGGCCGGAGTGAAATACTGCCTCGATCTGTTTAGCACACCGAGCTTCTTGGAGGCCAATTTGACCTTACCTTCGAAGTGACCCGAAATTGGACTTCATCGATATGTCGATGCCTAGGATTCCGATGCTGCATTACTATATTGGTTCTGACTATAGGTCACTAAGCTACTCAGACTTGCAGTGTTTGTAAATTAAATAATTTAACTGCTTTTGTGGCCTACCTACTA